CTCCTGAGCCTGGGTCTGCCGTGCTGGGGGTCCCCGGGCCGGGGGTGGCGCTGGGGCTCTGGTCTCCACCTGGCAGCATGGGCTTGTCTCTCCGTGGTCTGGGATGGCCTGAGGGAGGGGCCCAACCTGACGGAGGGTGTCCTGGGGACAGCGCAGTCTGAGTGCCTCCACCACTGCTGTCTCACTCCCTTTGTCATTGTCCCTTTGCAGCGAGACAAGACGCCATCCAGCTCCAAGAAAGTCACCTTCGGGCTGAACAGAAACACGACTGCAGGTGAGTGTGGGGGACACAGGCCCCGACCCATTTCCGAGTCAGAAGTCCAGCCCCCGAACGGTTAGTGGGGTGGCCAGGGTTGGGTGCGGAGAAGTTTTCTCAGGGCCCCTGGAAGGAGTCTGCCTGGCAGAAGATGCGTTGGAAAGCCATCTCCTTGAGCCTGCCGAGGCAGAACGCTTGAGGCCCTTCTGGCCTGGGGACGACCGACAGTCCCCCAGCCATGGCTGCCTCTGCTAATATTTGGAGCCATGTGCCCAGAGGGAGGCGGGAAAAGGGATGTTCTTGTCTGGTTGCTTTTAGTATTGGTGCTGTTCACTTGTTCTGTTTTATAAACGGAAACCAAACTCTCTAAAAGGATGCAGTGTGTTTAAGACCTGACTGTTCGTAGGGCCCACAAGTAAATACGTGTGTGTGTGCACGAGTTTGTGTGCGCGTGCGTGTGTGTGAGGACGGGAGGGACCATCCAGGGGGCCTGAGGTAGGTGCCCTGGCCTTTGGAGGCCTTGTTTCGGGAGCTGGAGATAGAGGAGCAGATGAGCTGGAAGGAAAGGCTCTTCTCGTGGCCACTGGAGCCTCAGGTTCATCCGTGTTCCCTGAGCGCCCCGACCCCCCGAGGCCCTCCTTTCAGAACCTGACCCACCTGGCGCCCCCTCCCATGCTGTCCGCGGACATTGGTTCACTTGTTCCTGTGAAGGAGGATGCTGACTCCATTTCCTCCGAAAGTTCTGGGCCCGCTCTCTGTAGGGCCTCATGACAGGCACTGCCCTGCTGGGGTGCACGGCCTGGCTCCCATGGGGGCTGCCCGCGGTGTGAACTGGACACTGTTTGGCTGGATGGGCAGGTCGGAAGTGCTACTCCGTTAACGTGTGGCCTTGCTTTCATCCGGGGCAGAATTCAAGAAGACCGACAAGAGCATCCTGGTCAGTCCCACGGGCCCCTCCCGAGTGGCCTTCAACCCTGAGCAGAGGCCCCTCCATGGAGTGCTAAAGACGCCCACAAGCTCACCCACCAGCACCCCCCTGGGGACCAAGACGCTGCTGACCGCCACACCAAAGAGAAGGCCTACGGCTATGGACTTCTTCTAGGGTAGTTAGCAGGGTCCTTTTAAAGACTGTGTTTGTACAGATAGTCTATAAATTATAACTTTAAAAAGGTGGAGCCTTTTTTATTGTTTTATAAATCCCCGTAAATTGTATAAACAAGGTTCTGAGCAGGAGCTGCTGCTTCTCCATCCCTTCTGCGGGGGCTGTGGGCGTCTGGCTGAAGGTTTTGCTACAAACGCCGTTGGTGCGCGAGCTCTCCGGGGCCTCGCGTTTGCGGGTGACTTCCGTGACCCCCACCAGGGTGGGAGCCGAGCCCAGTGACCGTCCGTCACGTGGCACCAGTCTGTCGGCGCCCCAGGAGCCTGGAGGCGGGGGCCTCGCCCGGGCGCTCAGCACTGCACCTGCCGTGCGGGGCTGGCTGCCGGTGGCTTTTGGTCTCCAGCGAGCCCACGGGGCCTTCTTCCCCCGCTCCCCGGGTGTTTGTGCCGGGGAGACGCAGGCGACCGGTTCAGCACTACCGTGGTAGCTTCCCTCCGTGGACCTGCAGCAGGGGCGGGGCGGGAAGAGCCTCCACGCTCGGGTCACCTGTTCCCTCCGCTGGGCCTTGTTTCCTTCCCTGTGTTCCTACCTCTCAGGCCAGCCCAAAGTGTCTTGACCGGTGAGCGCCCCTCAGCTCTCACCTGGGACTGTGAGCACACTCCTTCCTCGGGGTCCTGTGCTCCGGTTGCTCTTCTTACCTTCTTCATAAGCCTTTGAGCCAGCCCAAGTGACTGGCGTTCCTAAAGGCAGCTTTCCCGACTCAGACGGAAATTCGTTTCTTCAGAGGTGTGGCAACAGTGTCTGAAAGCCTGAGATCCTGCTGGAAGGCAGAAATCAGCAGCCTTTAAGAATTGTTTGTGCATATTTATTTGTCCGTAGCTACCTTTTATCTGAAGTATTGAAGCTTGCGCTTAAGATTTTTATAGACTTCCGATTTTAGTTCGTGACAGATGTTGGTGGCAGGCGGTCAGACTTCAGCCGGAGGAGCAGGGACCGGGCTTGGGGAAGCTGCGTCCATCCCTCGAGCCTGAGTGATGGACAGGAGGCAGATTCAGAAATCAGGTGATCACCTAAGGAGAGCCAGTGGGCCCCAGCTCCTGTTTGAGTTTACGAAATAACAAGCACAGACCTCAAGAAGAGGTACGAAACTCGGGGTTCTGTAGTTTTGGGCGCAGGGTTGCTCAGTGCTGCCCTGGCCTGCTCTCCGCTCAGGGGACCTCGGGCCTCTTGGAGTGAAAGCTGCCTCCCCCTTCCTGCCTCCGCCCCACTCAGGCCCCCAGCGCTTCCTCAGTGGGACCGGCCACCACTTTGCATGACGAGGGAGGCCCCCTGGGTTGGCGGGGCTGTGTTGATTTGACTTTGGTTTCTGCATCACGTCGTCAGGGTGGGGCTCTGTCTGCACGTGCGCCGCTGTGGGGTCAGGCGGCCGGCGCACTGCGGAGGGAAGTATGAACCTTGTCCTTTGCCTGCTCTATAATAAAGTTTTGTCCTAATTAGTCCACAAGAGAAGACATAATTCACATGGAGCTGTCAGATAGTCCCTGTAACGAGAAGTCTTACGTCCAAGATGCTGTGGTGTTTGCATGGGGCTTTTGTGCTGCATTCAGTAAAAGACTCAAAACCACACTCAAAACCAAATCTGATCGTGGGAGATTAGATTGGAATATTCAAATATTTTTAACTTTTTGTTTAAAAAAAAAAAGGTGTTTCATTATCCTTGGCCAGATTATTTTTCTAACAGTTTTTATTTTAGCTTTAAAGATGGGCCATGCAGTCCAGCGGGGTTGAGATGTTTTAGCAGAACATCTGAGGGCACAGTCGGGTAAACGCAGGGACCTCCCTTCATGCGCACATGGCGCCCGTCTGTTCCTCGGACACCCCAGCGGAGCGTCCAGGAGATGGGCCTGCTGGTTGATGCCACACCCCCGGACTCGGGTCCAGGAGGGACCTCGGACTCCATCCCTCCTTCTCGAAATCTGTCCTCACTTACTCCATTTCGTGGGTAAGTTCAGTAGGTTTACTATGGCTTATTTTTAATGCCTAAATTTTGGCAACAAAGGAAGGAAGAAAACTTTTTTTTAATTATCATTACACACACACAACAATGAAGTGTTGCACAAAGAAAATGTATTTAGAATACCAGTTTTCTATTCAATGCATGTTATTTTCCTAGGCAGAGTTGCTAAGGGGACTTAGAAGTCCAAAACTGGAAATCATTTACATTAATGCTGGTGATCTTACAGTATTTTGTAAAACAGTCATCTTCCCCCCGACCCCATATGTCTGGTTAGTTTTGTACAATTTGGTATCACACTTTATAAACACATAATCCTTTCTAACTCCTATTTACCTAAAAGCACAAAGGAGGGTCAGGGAAATCCGGAAGCGCTTGTTAGTGTTGGAAAGGACATGAAATGGAACCTGTCTTTTGATCTGTGTGTTTTCTCTGAATTTACCTGACTCTGCTGGCAAGAACCGCGGGTTTACGGTCAGTCTGTACTCCCGTCTGCAGAGTATGTCTGTCGCATCAAAGCCAAGTCCAATAAACAAAACCTGTCTTTGCACTCACACTTGTACTTGATGTGGACTGTCTGTGTGCATGGAAGTACACCTCTGGGGAACCACGGAAAGGCAGGGAGTCGGCGGATGCTGACATCAGCCCCACGTGCCTGACAGCAAGGTTCTGCAGGCCTCTGTCCATCCTCCACCTGCCTCCTACCTGGAGCCAGTGAGGGGCTGCTGGGTGCGGCTCCTGGAGAGGTTCCCGCAGAAACACCACTGCTGGGCCTGATGCTTCTGCTCCACAGGCCTCACCTCCGAGCGAGAGCAGAGAGGTGCCTGTGTCCCAGGTGGAGACGCCCAGCTCCGTCCCAGAGACGTGGCTGCCACGAGGGTGGTGAGGCCGCAGTCCACCGGGCGACCCCCGACTCTCCTGCTGGGGGAACCAGCGACGGGCTCCGTGGGTGGGCGGGCAGGAGACAGGCACTGTGCTCTTTACTTTTATGTGCACGCGTTCCTGAACAAACTTCCTCAGCCGTGGTCTGGATCCCAGACCGGATCTGTAGAGGGTGACTTAACCCCTAAAATAACAACGCGAATACCAGTAAGACCTGTACCCTCCGTCTGTCGTCCTGACCTGACCCCAAGTCAACACTGCATCCACATCCCCTCGTCTGCTCCTCCGACAGCAGCCAGTTGGGTTTCGGGCTCTTGCTATTCTAAAATGTAGCTCAGGTGTCAGCTGGGGCTTGCATTCTACACCTTGGTGTGAACACAAACTCCCAGGAGGGGCTCCAAGGCCACCCAGGCCGGATTGCCTGCCTCTGCCCCGTTCTTGTTCTCCCTTCACCCCAAATGGGGGGCACGGGGCCTTCCGCTCACCCCCCACCCTGTCCTAAGACGCTGCAGGCATCAGGGAGCAAACCCGTTCCCCGGGGCTTGGGATCAGGAGTCCCATCACTCATCCATCACAGACCTAAAACTGCACACGTCAGGGTTTTTGGTTTTTGATTTTTTAAGATTTTATTTATTTCAGAGAAGGGGAGAGAGTAAGCATGAGTCGGGGGAGGGGGAGAGGGAGAAGCAGACTCCCCGCGGAGCAGGGAGCCCGATGTGAGGCTCGATCCCAGGACCCCGGGATCATGACTTGAGCTGAAGGCAGATGTTTAACTGACTGAGGCACCCAGGCGCCCCTGCGCACATCAGTTTTCAGAGTGGTCCGTCACAGGCTTTCTCCCCGTTTCCATGTCCGGACTCTGAGCTCCCCGGGGGCAGCCACTCTTCCACACTCCGTGATGGGCTCAGCTCTGTCCCCGTGTTTCCACTCGAGCTCACGTGTGTGCAGCAGAAAACTTGCCGTGGCAGGAGCCACCCTCCTTAGCAGGCAGGTTGCAAAGGAGCTGTCCCCCTCCACATCCTGACAGGATACACCGTCCATTCCACACCCACCCCTCCATCAGCCGTGCTTGCTGAGCACCCGCCGTGTGTCAGGCACTGCTCTGTGCTCTGTGCTGCAGGGGCGACAGTCCGCCGGATCCGGGCCCTGCCGGAGCGGACTGAAGGGGAGGACAGGTGAAGCCAGAGCTCCCGGGAGGAGAGCAGGGAGCAGCCCGGGGCTGGTGCTGTCTCGTGAGGAATAATGCCCCCCATACGTCTGGCCAATCTTGTACAATCTGGTACCAGACTTCACACTGTGTGATCCTTCTAAGTTTCTACCGAACTTAGTACAATCTGGAAGCGGTGCTGCTCGTACTAAGTGTTGGAAAGAACATTAAACGGAATCCATGGTTTCATTTGTATATGTTTCTTCCTTCATTTACCCGACTCTGGCAAAGACTGTTTACAAGAAGGTAGCATTTGAAGAGAGGCCCAAAGAGATTGAAAAGTGAAGCTATATGGGTGTCTGGAGAAGATAATTGCAGAAGGGGCAGCCCATACAAAGGCCCTGCGGCAGGTACCTGTTCAGTGAATTCTACGAACAGTAAGGAGGCAGGACTTCTGGAAAGGGAGTGTGAATTGCTCAGGGACCCCGCTCCCCAGTAGAGACCTCTGATAACGCTGGTCAGAATCAGCAACAACAACCGTTCAGCGTCTCTGGAGATTGATCAAAGGGCTTACAACAAATTGAGAGGCATTTATTCCGTAAAATCCACAGCAGCTGGGTAAGGACGGTGGGAGGGAGGCTGTGACCGCTGGGGGCTGTGGCCTCGGGGAAACCCTCAGTGGGTGGCCAGCCATCTCTGTGGGGCCAGGGGCTGGGGAAGGGCTGTGTGGGTGCTGGGGGACGCTCCTAGAGCTCGCACAGAGCAGGACTGTGGCTTGGAGCACAGGCCTTATCTGTCTCCATCCCAGGGGTGTGGGAGCTCCCTGCCACCCCCCGCCAGACACCTTCTCGCCTGCCAGGCTCTGTGCTCACCTGTCGCTGTGTCTAGTCCTCACGGCTTCCGGAAGGGAAATCCTCCTGTGAGTCCCTGTTCCCCGGCAAGGAAATCAGGCTTCAGAAGTCAGGGAGCCATGAGGGAGCCACGGGGCTGTGGGTTTGCCCCTCGCAGCATGGACCCCGGACAACACAGGGCACCACACAGAACTCGGGCCCCACCCAGACCCACCGAATCAGCCCTGAGGGCTCACCGGGGCCAGGGGATTTGACGCACGCAGGGGGCAGAAGCGCGGGTCCAAAGACCTGCAGCCTTTAGCAGGGGCCCTTGGCCCAGAGCGGGCCTTAGCAAATACCTGCTGAACTGAACCGAATCCAGTCGGAAAACCACATGAGCACAGGGCTCCTGCTTTTCTCTGAGTCTGCGAGCTCAGAACTGAGGGTGGCTGGTTTTCTGCAGCCCGTCCCATGTGTCTGGAGAAACACCCCAGGGGGGTGCTGGTTCTCACCGGGCAGGTGCTGCGCCAGGCACCGTGGGTAACCCCAACAGGCATTGTCTCCCGGGTTCTGCCTCAAATACAGATCACCCCCTAACCTCAGTCTCTAGGCCGTGGATCTGCCTAGGACTCAGCAGTCAGTAAGTCCTGCATTAGCCCGTCAGGTCCAGACGCGTCGCTGGAGTGTGCAGCCCATGGACAGAACCTGGAATACACGTGATTTCACCAACGCCCCAACTAAGTACCACTTGTCTATGAATGAGACCTAAGCCCAGTTTTATTTAAAAAAAAAACAAAAAAAACCTGCGGGAGCCAGGTCCGAACGCGGGGTCTGCACGCTCCGTAGTGACCCTACCGGGGCGCTGGCAGAGGCCCAGCGCCCACCCTGAAGCACCCGCCGCTGAGTGCCCACCCGCTCCCAGCACCCCGTGCTTGTTCCCTGAAGGGGCCCCGGGTCTCTCTCCACGTGCGATCGCCGTGGAAGTGCCAGGCACCGCGATGCAGGCAGCAACAGCCTCCTCAATGTGATTTCAGAAGCAAACGGAAGATCCTCTGCCCCCCAAAATCTAGCTTCCACAATTAGATTCATCCCTTTCATTTGGACTTTTGACTTCCATAAAACTCGAGGGAGAAATGATACTGATTCATACCCAAAATTGTCTCCTGTGTTTTTTATTTGCCAATTTTCAAATAAATAAATCATAAAAAAAAAAAGAAGAAAGTCTCATGTCAGTCTGTGTCTTGAGCACCTGCCACATTCATGTAAACGCACACAGACGCGCCTAGAAAGAAGACCAGAATGCTGCCTGCCCTCGGGACGTGAGACTGTGACTGGTTTCCATTTTCTTCCCTGTAACGTTTGTCATCTTCCCAAGTTGTCTACGACATGAGTTTCTCTTGCAACCAGAGAACCGTGAGCGATCTTTACACATCTCTGTGGGGCGCAGTAAGAAAGAGCGGTTGCCAGGAAGGTAACGGCAAGAATCTGGGTCAGCACACCGTGTCCGGCCACACGGCGCAGGAATCCAGCCGCTCCCAGGCAGGGAACTCCTACCCTGAGAGCGAATTCCTTCGCTTTTCCTCCATCCTTTCTCTGTGAATAATTTGCCCCAGCAGGCCCCTTGAGGGTCTAAAATTCCTGGATGTTGGCCCAGATTTTGATTCTTTTCTGAAGTAAAGTATCACTAAGGAGAAAGAAGAAACATTTCCAGTAAAGCCTGGTCCGAAAGAGCGGGGGAGGCTCAAGGTTATTTCTTTGGGTCAGGAACAGTGAGCAGAGAGCCCCTCATGGGTTTAAGATGACTCTTACTGCACATTTTTCTGAACTCTTGGGAGAAAACTCTCCAGATGGCCTGGAGCTGTTTCAGGGAGAGCGCAGGGGTTGTCATGGTGACCAGCTTATTGACCCAACACTGCAAGGTGAGTCTCAAACCAGACCAGTGTGTTTGAGGATTAAAAAGTAGAACCACACCCGCACAGGTCAGGAAAGAATCTAAGGGGATTCTCTAGTGTTCCTGACACTGACCCGAAGTGCTCTCAAGGTTCAAAAGACCTTGGCTCTTCCCAAGAGGAAAGTAAAAAAGATAATCCATCCAAATAAAGAACGCCCTGGAACCCAGGCCTGAGGTTCAGTTGTTGCCTCTTTGTTTTTTTAAGTTTTTGGGTTTTTTTGTTTTTTGTTTTTTTTAGTAATCTCTACACCCAACGTGGGGCTTGAACTCACGAACCCGAGATCAAGAGTCACACGTTCTTCCAAATGAGCCAGCCAGGAGCCCCGAGTTGTTGCTTCTTAAGAAAGACATTCTTGGGGCGCCTGGGTGGCTGAGTCAGTTGAGCATCAGACTTTTTTTTTTTAAGATTTGACTTATTTATTTGAGAGAGAGAGAGAGAAAGAGCAGGGGGAGGAGCAGAGGGAGAAGGAGAGAGAATCCCACTCCCCACAGAGCCTGACATGTGGCTTGATACCAGGGGCCCTGAGCGTCTGACTCTTGATCTTAGCTCAGGCCTTGATCTCAGGGGCATGAGTTCAAACTCCATGTTGGACTCCAAGCTGGGCATGGAACTTAGTTAAAAAATAAAAAAAATTTAAAAAAAGAATATTCTGGAACTGAGAAATGTCCAAAAGCCTGTTCTCGGAAGGATGGAACCCCTTGTAAATATGGAAGGATTTCAAACTAGATTCTTCATCCCATAAAAATGGCGGCTTGGAGCCCAGCAGTCATGAGAGACAGTGAAATTTTCCACCAGCTCTGTTCCGGCAGGCCAGGATATCCTGATAAATAACGACGAGGAGACTTTCCAGAACCCTCACACATGCCCCACCCGGGTCTCCGTCTCCACAGGGGGCAATCTGCCGGACCCCCTCAACACCACTTTGTGTACTCTTACTTCTACACTTGAAGAAATGGGGACTCTGAGTCCAAGAGCTGACCTAACTTGACACTCCGAGGTGTCCAAGGCCATTGGAGGAGCTAGAATCCACCCGGGCGGTGCGGCTCCAGACTCCAGAGCTCACCCGTGTGTATGACCTGCCTTTTCCCATTTTCTGTATTCTCTGTGCCCTGGCATCTGGGCCTGGCTGACTGGGGAGAGACTACCCCTCCCAGGTCTAGCCAACCCTCAGAGACAGCAAATGTGCCTTTCACATGCAAAGTAACCAGCCCAGAGCCCACATTCCACGCCACTCCCCCCGCTACCCCTCTGCCCAGGGCCAGGGACCAGACAACCAGAGACAGCCCTGTACCCCAGAGCCTGCCAAAGGTATTCAAACTAATCAATAACCACCCTGCTTGCCTGCCTTGCCTTGCCTTTCTCCTTGAAACCCCAATAAATTCTCCTGTCCGTGCCCCCCCATTCCCAACCCACCTGGGGCTTCCCCACGTGGCCTTGTGTGGTATGGTGCCCCCACCTCTTGGAAACCTCAAGTGGCAAACTATCTTTTCAATGGCAGTGTCTCCCCATCTGTTGACCTCACCGTCTGTGAATAATAACAAAACCGTACTTTACAACACTTGGCTACCGCCTCTCAGGCAAGAACAAAACCCAGCCAGCAGGACCGAGAGCGGCCTCGTGGAATGTTATTGTAGAGAGCACCATGGAGTCTCTCTTGTCAAGCAGGGGCCTGCATCAAGCAATGAGGCGAGCAGTTCGGGGTCCTGCAGTGGCACCAGCACCGGCCGACCACACCCCAGAACCGACAACTAGCAGAAGCGGAGAGGAGGTCTGCAGGACCCAAGACCGATGACATCCCTTTAGAAAGGGAGGATTTTTGCAGCAAACCGTCAGCCTCCTCAGACACTGACTCCTGCATCTCTGACCACTTCAAACAGGCAGCTGCCGCCGGGGGCTCTGCCCGACTGATCTCCAAGAGGAACCGAGATCCTTCCCTGATGGAACGTGAGAAGCAGTAAGTGCCGAGCGCTGACTAGGGCAGGACTGAGACCTTATCTCAACCTCGCGCCCACAGACTGACGTCGCATGGGGACCGTTCACTTCCTACGTCCTGTTCTGCCTAGTGAGTTGTACGGCCCGTCTCCTGCTTTGCTTTGGGTGACCTGCCAGAAGCCAGGTTCAACAGTGAGATGTCACTGAGTTTGGAATCCCGAACCTGCCTCATCAGCATGTTAACCTTGAGGACTGCGTAAAGCCGGCGTTGGGAAAGACGCTCCTCGCGTGTGAGCCCCCGTAGCGTGCTCGTGACATTGCGGTATGCAAGGTGCTGTGGTCTGTAGACTGTAGAGGCAGGGCTTCGAAGAAACACCTGGTCCACGAGGTCCACGAGGTGAAAGGATGTTTGCAGTGATTATCGTAGCTCCGGCTGCCACAACAAAATCCCTCAGGCTGGGCAGCTCCAACGACAGATAATTATTCTCCCAGTTCTGGGCGCTGGAAGTCGACGGTTCCACTTGGACTTGCCCGGATTCGGTCTGGTGAGAGCTTGCTTCCCGGCTTGCAGGTGTCCTCTCTCACTCACTGCGTGCTCCCGTGCCTGTCCTCACGGCTTGCACGCAGGGACCCCACTCTCTGCTGCTGCCGCTTCTAAGGACCCAAACCTACCAAATCAGGCACCGCCCCTTATGACCCCATTAAACCTTCATTACCCCACAAAGGCCCATCTCCAAAAACCATCACTTTGAGGGGTAGGGCTTCAACATATGAATTCTGGGGGATACAATATATAATATAATAGTGATGATAGTGGTTAAGTCTCCGGAGGCCCCCATCCCTTGTAGCCGACATCGGAGACAGCACTCTGGTTGGGAGGAGCCTGGGGACAGGGATGACTTTTTCGGGGACTGAAATCAGTATTCACGGTCCGCCGGTAGGACACATTTGACACTGGGGAGGCCTCAGAAAATCTGGGACACACGATGTGAGCTGAGTCCAGCCAGCTTGTCCCTTCATGGCTGTCTGCTTCTTGGGGACCAACGCCAGCGCCTGGGACCATTAGGGGGGCAAGCTTGAAGGCCAGCGGGCGGTGCACTGGGGTGAAGTCCAGGCTCTGACAAGGGCACCTATGTGGCTTCAGCAGCAGAAACGGATTCTCTCCCAGCTCTGGAGGCCAGAGGCCCAAGAGGAGGGTGTGAACGGGGCTGGTTCCTTCCGAGGGCTGTGGAGGTGAGTGTTCTCCCCCTCTTCATAAGGACACCAGTCATGCTGGAGTTAGGACCCACTCCAGCAGCTTCACTGTAACTTGATTATATCTGCAGAAGGCCCTATTTCCAAATAAGGTCACAGCCCCAGCTACTGGGGAGGTGGACCGAGGCCCAAGTAGGGTTCCAGCCCCAGGGTGCCGCTCTGAAGGTGTAATCACCAGGACACAGAGGCGCACAGGAACCTGGCTCCGGGGGTCCCCAGACAGACAGGCTCGGCCACAGATTCTCTCAGTTCCCTGTTCTTTCTCAGTGAACCACCTTCTGGGAACCTCCTGGACCCCACCCACTTGCCTCTCCAGCTACCCTCCCCCCAAGGGACCTGGCAGTCAGCTGCCTCTTCCTAATCGGCTAAGAGCGACCCTGCAAGGCATTTGCTCTGTGCTGGGGACTGTGTCCTCTCCCAGGAAGGGCGGGTCTGCCTTGGAAGGATGGGGTGGGGGTGGGGGGGTGTCCTGAGGGGCTCTGCACCCCTCCCCCACCCCGACACAGTGGTGAGGCAGCCCCTCCATCCTCTGGCTGGCCAGGATTGCGAGTATCTTTTCAATAGACTGGTGGTTTCTGAGGGTCTTCACTATCTGAGTCCTCAGGAAGGAGGTTTGTTTGTGGACTGATACTTAGTAGCAACAGTGCTCATAAAATACCTTTTATCTGCCCAAACTGCGGGGTCCCAGAAGCACCTGTAGAGTTGAAAGAGTGCCCCGGGGGCCCGGCTCAGGGAAGTGGGACAGGGCTGAGCCTTGGCTAGTTTACCAGCTTCTCCGGGTGACTCTCCCGTGACTAGCTTGGGACCCAGAGGCGCACTGGGAGTGAGGATCTTTCCAAAGCCCAGTGAAAAGTGAACTCACCAAAACGTCATGCCCAGGGTTTTGACCTCTACCTGGGCCCTGTCAGGAAGAGGGTATCAGTGGGGTGCCTGGGTGGCTCAGTTGGTTAAGCGACTGCCTTCGGCTCAGGTCGTGATCCCGGAGTCCCGGGATCGAGTCCCGCATCGGGCTCCCTGCTCAGCAGGGAGTCTGCTTCTCCCTCTGACCCTCCCCCCTCTCATGTGCTCTCTCTCTCTCATTCTCTCTGTCTCAAATAAATAAATACATCTTTAAAAAAAAAAAAAAAGGAAGAGGGTATCAGAGCCTGGGGTCCAGGAGGCCTGTCAGTCTCTTCTGCCCTTAGTGCTCTGGATTCACCTGGGCTGAAGGCGTGAGGTGGGTGCAGATGAAAAAGGGCGTGGGCGCTTATGAGGTTCGTCCAGAAAAGCAGAGGGACATGAGGTGGGAGATCTGGGTGGGGAGGGGGAGATCAGCTGCAGACAGGTTCACCAGGCCCTCCTAAGAGCAAGGGCCGCCGACCTCACAGAGCGGGACCGAGAGAAGGCAGTGAGGACAGTGGCTAGTGCTGCTGACCCCTGCGGTCCACAGGGCTCTCACCCAGCAACACCCGTCACTGCTTCTGTAACCTCTGGTTTCTCTTCCCATTTCCTCCTGGGTAAAACTGGATGAACCCCTACCATATTAGGTGTTGGGGATTTCCAATGTGTTAATGCGGGAAATGGGCTTAGCACATAGTAAGCGCTCAATGTTAGCTATTATTATTAATTAGGAGGTACTTCCTCTTGAAAACCGGGACAGCCAAGGCACTGCCCTCCTTCTTCTCTATGCCCGCATTTGCCAGCACCACATCGGCCTTGCCCCCAGGACAGAGAGGTTTAAATACAAGCAGCCAAGGGACCCACATCACCCAGCCCTAAAGTGTGAAGCCCCCGGGGCGGCGCGGGAAACTCAAGGGGGAACCCAGGGAATGCCTCAGCCCCGCGGAGGTGGGAGTGGGAGGTGGAGGGCGGGGTAGTGACTGCTGGGGAGTGGGGGGGACGGGACTCGCGCTTAATGGTGGGCTCTGAAGGTGGAGGTGGGGCGGGCGGTGGTGCGTGGGCACCCTGCAGCAGGAGGGTCGGCCACGTGTGCAGGGCTGGAGGGGACCGGGCGCCTCGGGGTCCCCAAGGGTGTCATGGCACCGCGGAGATGTCCCACCCCCAGGCTTCTGCGGGGGGGTGAGGGGTGGGGGCGGCACGACCGGCCGCTCCCGGTCCCCTAGACGGGCGCCCCGGGAGGGCAGGGCTGGCGCCGGTCCGCACGGGGGCCGGAGGGGCGGCCCCTGGCGCTGCGGGGGGGGTTCGACGGCCCTGCCGCCCCTGGGGTGGGGGGCGGGCACCGCGGGGCGGGAAAGTCCCGCGGCGCGGGCCGGCCAAGTCGCACGCGCTCCGGGTCAGAGGCCGGCGGACCTCAGACAGTGAATGAGCGACGCGACGGTGCCCTGGCCGGGTGGACCGAGAACCACCCCCACCCCCGGCGTCCGGCCCCGCGGCTGCCCCGCCCACGCGCCGGGAGCGCGAGTGACGCCGCCGCCGCCGCCGCCGCCGCCGCCGCCGCCCGGGCCCAACGGGGCGCGGCTCCGGCTTTCCCGGTCCCCGGGCGGGGCTGCGCGGAAGCCCCGCCCCCAGCCCACCCCCCGCGCCGAGCGGGACCGGCGGTTCCCGGCCGCGCTGAGGTCACAAGGAGGCGGCCTGGCGCCCGAAGCGAGCGCCTGCGCCGAGCGGAGCCGAGCGGAACCCAGCGAGGGGCGGACACGCGGACGCCCGCTCGGCCCCGCGCCGCCGCGGCAGGCCCGGCATGGAGGCGGAGTGCCGGGTGCTCTCCATCCAGAGCCACGTCGTCCGCGGCTACGTGGGCAACCGGGCGGCCACGTTCCCGCTGCAGGTAAGCGCCTACAGCCGGCCCGGCTTACGTAACCGGCCGGGGTCCCCGCATGAGGGCCCGCGGCGGGGCGCCCGCCGCCGAGCCCCGTGACCTTGGCCCGGCCCGCGCTCCGCCGCTGCTGGAGCACCGGGGGCCCCTGCGCGGAGCGGGCGCCCGCCGAGCGTCAGGCCCCCGCGCGTGAGCTGTGGCGCACTCGCCACCCGCGCCCCTGCCCGCAGCGGGCGGCCGGGGGCTCCCTGCCGACGGGAGAATGCGGCGGGCTGCCTCCTGACCCTGCCCCGGGGGCGCAGGGGGAGGGACGGAAGGCAGGTGTTTGCAGGGCTCACCTGCCGCGAGGGGGAGGAGCAAGCTCGCGGACTCTGGCTCCCGGGGGCCAGGGTGGGTCCCACCTTGCGGAGGACTCTTCTGGGAGGTGGTCGCCAAAGAGGCGGATGGGGCAGAGAAGGCCTCCCTGCAGGTGTTGGCTCTGAAGAAGAAGAGCCCAGAGACCGATTCAGGCCCGTACCCTTTTGGCTTTAGAAGCTGCGTTTCAAATGTTTTATAGCCTTTACTTAATGGTGGGCTTCCCTCCCTCCTCTCTTGCCTGTCCTTAATGGGTCTCCCAGGCCAGGTACCCACTGCTTCCTGCTGCAGCCCCAAGGTTATGGCTGGGTGGCCCTTGGAGGGGCAGAAGGAGGCCTGGATGCGGTGGGCTTTCATGCCAGGCCAGAGGCAATACCAGGGTGACGGGCACTTCCCTGCCTTGCCTGCCCAGCAGGAGTGCTGGGGGTGGCCACAGCAAGGTCGTGGCTCTCCTGGACTAACCACCTTTGGCCTGTTGTCCCTGGCCTGCACCCCCGGGGGCAGGAAGCAGGTGTGGCTGGGCCACTGCGTGCCCCCTCGCTCCTTGGAGTAGGGTGGATTGTGTGGGCAGGGTCACTGGAGTGGTCCTGTGCTTGGGGAGAAAGGTGCAGGGTCTCTGAAGCAGGGGCCCACCTGGAAGGCAGGACCAGGCAGGGCTCTTGAGAACAGCTTCAGCCTGCTGTCCCAGTGGTAGGAGCAGCCCTCGCCCTTCTTAGCCAGGGAGCCATGGGAGCTGGCCTTGGCAGAGGTGTGCAGGGCCCCTGCTGGCTTCCCTGTGTCCCGTGCCCAGTCCCTCCTCCCGGTCCATCCACACCCACTCTCCTCTTTCTCCCTGCACTGGGCACACCGTTCCCCTCCTCAGCTCACCTGGGTCCTCCAGGGATGCACCCTTGTTCCTTCCAGGCTTCATCTGTAGAATGGGCATGACGCCGACTCCCAAGTTGTTTTAGGGCCAGGGGAGATGGGGTGTGTGAACATCTCTTGGAGTTGCTGGCTACTGAATGAGGTGGGTCGGCATTCCCCGGGCGCCGTGCTCACCCACCACCGTGCAGGAGGACCAGACAGGAAGATAGGGCTGGGTGGCACGTAAGTGTGCCTGGGGCATCTCGTGGAGGCTGGGGCCTCTGCCAGGAGGGGATGTGGGTTGGGTTTTCAGTTACTTACCTGTGTGTGTTTTTTGCCCTAATTTCCCCCTCTTTCTCCTAATTACCGGAATAAGATATAGTGTCGGGGGATGGAGAGGGCTGAGGAGGGCAGAAGGCCAGGGGTGGTGGTCCTCCAGACATGCGCCCCCCAAGCTGGACCCCAAACAGGGCAGTGTCAGTGTGTTCGGGCGGCTGTACCAAAGTACCGCAGGCTGGGCAGCTCAAACAGCAGGTGTTTGCGGTCCCTCAGTTCTGGAGACTGGAGTCCAAGATAAAGGTGTCAGCACGGCGGTGTCTGCGTGGCGTGTGGATGCTGTGTTCACTTGGTTCCCCTGTGCGTGTCTGTGACCTGATCTCAGGGACACCGGTCAGATTGCATCAGAGCACCTGGTGACCTTATTCTACCTTAATTATCTCTTTAAAGATTCTGTCTTCAAATACAGTCACATTCTGAGGTCCTGGGGGCCAGGGTTTCAACATAGGAATTTGGGGAACACAATTCAGCCCACAATGAGAACAATTTCCAGAAATTTCTTAGTTCACTGGACACACTTAGTGCTTCCTTGAGCAGAGTCTAGATTTCTTACCAGCCTGCAAATGCTTGTTTTGGCCCCGGTTGCTTAGCTCTGGGAGGATCAAACAGTTAGTACTGCAGGGTGCTCCACAGGGTCCCATGCGGACGTTTTGCTCCCCACCCCCCTCACCCCCATCTGTGCACCGCTGGAGCAGAGCCAGGCAGTGAGAGGGGTGGGGATGGCTGCCGAATGACCTCGGACCAGCCTTAGCACAGGACGGGCTGGGTTGGACGGAGCCTGGAATAGGCTTGGAGGCCCGCACTTGCACGTTCCAGCAGGGGTCCTGAAGGGAATCATCCTGGAACGCCCAGAGTTGTGCTCAGTGGCGGGTATGTTCTCAGTTTGGTCGATCCGGTGGAGCTAGGCTAAGGCATGCTTGTGCACGCAGCTGAGTGTGGGAAGAGAACTTAGCAAGGGCAGCAGGAGGTGGGCCCTGGCTGGGCCCCACAGATTCGGAGAGACCGGAGAAGCCCCTGTGGGGACTGGCTTGCTGTCCCTTTGTCTTGGAGTTCCGGCTCAGGGACGGGGCACTGCCGACTGAGGCTTTCCAAGCCTCGTGTGCACAGTGAGAACAGTACTCCTGGCAGTCAGCTGGGGCCTTGCTCCCGGGGCACTGCCCGGACGGAGCTCTGCCAGTGGTGGTGGGGGGCCCGTTCCTGGGGTGCTCCCGCCTCTGCACCGTGGGTGTGGTACAGACGTGTGCTGGCTGGAGGCCTGCAAGGCTGGGCTTCAGGACCCTGGTTCCCAAACTGCTTCTTGCCGGGTCCCCAAAACGCACCGCTTGCCGTCTCAGGCAGGTAGCCCATGAGCAGCCGCCCTCCCTGGGCAGAGAAAAATGTCAGATGAAACAGAGGAGCAGAACCTTGACCCTGTTTTTAAATTTTGTTTTCAGGCCGAGTCCAAAGTATATTCTAGTGACCAGTGACGGAGGAGGTAGAACATCAGGTGGGATGACCCCATGTTTGCAGAGCAAGGAGGGAGTAAGGGTATGGTCTTCGTGGCCCTGTCCGTGGAGAGAGGGCTGCCAAATCAAGGCCAGACAGGCCGGTGATGCATCAGGGGCGCCTCCCTGTGCACGGCTGGGCCTTCCTGCTGCTCTGGCCTTAGATTCTGGGGCCGGGAAAGAGCAAGGAAGGGTAAGGCGGGGTGAGATGAAGTGCAGCCCGGCCCCTGTTGCCTCCCACACCAGACACTGGTGGGACTGCCTCCTCTCGGAAATTGGAAACCTAATGTTCTCCCGGGCCGGGCGGTACAGTCCGAGCGAGCCGGCTGCGTGTATGTCCGCATGTTGGATCAGCAGCGCCCACTGTGGGGAGCGGAGGTCCCAGAATCCCCCAGGCAGCCGCGCCACCTGCTTCTGAGATATCGTGGTGAAGTTACAGCAGATCTGCGAGCCTTGGGGTGGCGTGAGTGTCCTGGGGCCAGTCTCCCAAGTGCTGCAGACTGGAGGGATTAAAACCACAGAGGTTCTCTCGCCGCGCTGGGGGCCAGGAGCTGAAGTCAGGGAGTTGGTGGAGCCGCATGACATCTGAGGGCTCCAGGGGAGGAGCCTTCCTTGCCATGGACAGGTGGGATCTCTGTGCTGGGGTGGGGGCATCACTGGAGGGTCACAGTGGAGAGGTGCGGCCTTGAAAGGTCACCTCCAGTAGCCTTGAGAATCTGACTTGGGCTTTTGCCTAAAACCCACTTAAATCCCATGTTGGGATCTCCATGACAGTGTGGGGGTGGCAGGGAGTCGTTTATTTCCAGCTTTTCACTTTCAAGAACCCCTGGAGCCTCGAGGTGGCCTTCTTCAGAGGAAGATCTTGACATTTTTCCCTTAGCACTCCTAGGATAGAAGGGCCTTCTGCAGCAGAACTGCATTTGGTAAGAATGTCACCCTGTCCCCTTTAAAAGACATGGTTTTTGCCTTAATGTTTTTCCTGGTGATGCCCATGTTGGCAGACAGTACAACACCGCTGACATGTGGACATTCACATCCTTGGAGGTGGTGTGTTGGGTTTGGAACACGTCCAAGTGTGTTCTAGAATGTTCCTTGTGCTCCAGGACACGTAGCTCTGCTTGCTTCACTTCCTGCCAGTTGTAATGATTCCTGTTGCCCCAGCCTCTGGAAGTCCTCGGGCTGGTCGGGGCTGGTCGGGAATGTGCCAGTCCTGCAACCTAGGTGTGGCTTTTGCTGTTTCCCCAAGAAGGTCCAGAATTGCTTAATTTCTAGATTTCCTAACTCTCTTTCTTGGTTTGGGACTAAGGTTTCTGTTGTTCCTTTTTGCTTCTCATGGAGAAAGCAAGAACTTAATTGGTCGCATTTTCTGATCTTTTCCCCCCGCCGTGTCTGCGTACGTGTGTGTGTGATGAGTATGTGGGCGTGTGTGTGTGTGTGTGTGTGTGTGTGTGTGTGCACGCGTGCTGTCCTGTGAGTGGGGCCCTGGCTCTGGGGTAGCACTGTGCTCTCTGGAAGGGAGAGTGTGTCTGTGCGCAGGGGGCTTACGTGACCCGGGGGCCGTCGGCTTTGTGGCTCATGGGCTTGGTCATCCCCGGGGCACACCTGTGTGGAACTTCTGAGCTAGAACCAGCCCGTTCTGCTCACACAGCTGTGTGGAAGAGTGACACCGAGGAACAGAATAAATGCTGGAGTTTCTCAAGAAGAAAGGAGGCAGGCGTGGGGCCCCGGGCCATGTGGTAGCATCACGTGGTTGGCCCAGGGGGGCAATGCCTGTCTTCCCTGCCCACCCAGAGCAGCCGCCCTGTTCCCTGTCCGTACTTGGGTGCTGCCGGGAGACCCCTTCTCTTAGGGCGTTGTAGCGCAGCCCAGCCCCCAGCAGAACCCGATCGCTAGCACACGGACCCTGTGCAGGCCTGGCAGGGGGGCGTGGGGTGTGCTTTGAGCAGCACGGGGGTCCAGGGCTGTGACAGCTGAGGCCGGGGCGCACACGTGGGCAAAGAGAGCCGTGGGACTGCAGGCGAGCTGCCGGCCGCCTCAGGGATGGAGGGCCGTTTCCCGTTGGAGGTCAGAGGACAGTGGACGTGGGTAGAGCTGAACTGCGGGGCTGAGTAGTCACAGGAGGTGGGCAGGACAGTGGGCACTCAGCCCCGAGGCTGATCAGGATGCCCTTAGTCACATGACACTCTGGCGTCTCTCTTTCCTAATTCTCATTTCCTGTAGAAGCAGCTCCAGGTCTTGCAAAACAGCCATAGTGAGGATTCTTGAAGACAGTGACCCCCCTCCCCCAGAGGAACTGGGGTGGTCTGGGCAGGGTGGGGGAGCTGTGCTGGAATATTCCAGAGCTTCCCCACTCCTGCTGTTCTGAGTGCTCTGCATCCCTGCGAGGGCGGATCGCCTGCCGAGCTGCTGAGTTAATGACCGTGTCTTGCGTGGCTGTCAGCAGAGTGGGTTGATGATGCGGCAGGCAGTGAGGGGGATCTGGCCGCAGAGAACATGAGTCACCCGCCCAGGGCCCCTCCCCAGGGGCTGGCTGGGGAGAGGGAGTGTGCCTTGTTGTGGGGGCTGCTGGGCCAGGGCTCCGGGTTTTTTCTGAAACAGGAGTGGGCTTGCTGGTGGAGCCCGAGGCTGAGGCTTTGGCCATGCCAGCCTTCATCCTGAGGTTCATGGGATGGTGGACGCGTCCTAGGAGCTCACGGTCGGTGGGGCGCCCCAGAACCCTAAACCACCCCCGAGTCCGGGGGCTGCAGCAGAGGCTGAGAAGGCAAGGATCCGCACAAGGTCTCGGGGGCTTGAGACAAAGGTAGTCTACGTTCAGGACATCTGCTCACAGAGATATGGGGGTTTCAGAGCTTTTGGGGGGATCAGAACATGGGCAGCAGCTCTGCAGCCAAAACATGGAATCATGGCGTGCAGGACAGGCAGCCGGGGGCTTCTGCAGGCTGGGGTTTCATGGGTACACCTGGGGGCTTGGCGGGGTGAGGACCATCACGCAGGCCTGGACTAGGTGGTGCGAACAGAGACGAGGCTGCCAGCCCGGTGCTGCTGGGAGGAGGGGCTCTGCCTGTGGGCGGGGAGCAGCAAGAGTGGGTGGGGGCCATGTTCCCCCTCCCGTGGCAAGGCTTTTCTTCAGCTGTCCTTCCTGGGCCGAACAGCATTTCTTCCTCTTTTTCTTTCTTGAAGTATCTTTTGCATCTCTTCACTGTGTGCTGCTGGTGTGCTCGTAGATGTTTAAAAAGTGGGGGGTGGCGGAGGCTGATTCCTGTGTGTGTGCCCGTTTCCGTGGTGACCGCACACTGCCCGCGCCAGTGGAAGAGGTGTGTGCGCGGTGGCCTCCGTTATGGGGGATCCTGCCATAGTCCAGTCGCTCAGGAGCGAGCTCATTGTGAGAGGTGGTGAAGTAATTAGGGGGGGCTGAGGCTAGGCAAGTTGTTACGTTTGTTTTTCATATGTTTCATGTAAGTTTTGTGACTCTGGCGTTAGTGACAGTTCCACATGAGACAGTCCTGCACCCCTTCCCTCCTCCAGAGGCTAATGCCCCTTCTGTTCCTCCACCCAAACACCTGCTTCCACAGCGCCCCTGTCATGAGAGCGGACTCCACGGGGTGATCTCCCTGGGGCCCCAGGCCGTGATCGCAGGAGAGCGGTCCCCCTCCATGGGGCCACCCACACGCAAATGGGGTTGTGCGGGCGGGCACGGTCGCTGGGCCCGTCCTTAGGATCCCGTCTCCCCAGGTGCCGTGGGCTCCACCGTTCACCGCGGCACGATGTGACTCTCACCCACGAGAATACCGACAGGCAGTGCCGTCCCGTAAGTTGGCCTGACACGGGGTTAGTCTTGTCCCTCCGCGGAGCCCACGGGGCACGAGGGACTGTTCCCATGGAATGGGACTCACGCGAAGTCTGTCCGGGGACAGGAGTTTGGATGTGCGCCACACACAGAGCAGACGGTGAGCGTGGCTGGGGAGAACCCAGACCACCCGCCCCAACGCTCACCGTGCATCCGGGACACTGCAAGGGACTCCTGGACCAAGAATCAGTCGGTGTGCGGCTCCCCCTGGGGCCCGGGAAGAGGCGGGGGCAGCAGGGTCCTGTCCAGAAGTGGGGACCAGAGCAGTTACCTCCACGGAGGATTTATTAGGTATTAACCGGGTACCACTGTCCCCCGCTTTCCGGAAATTCACAGTAGCCATAGCCACTTCACTTGTACAAATGGCCTACTGCATGACTACCTCTTTACGCTAACCAGGGGAAACCTGGAGAGGATTTTTGCTTTTATGGAAAAACCATTACTGTACTAACGCAGGCCCTTCATTAAAGCGGAATGGAGCAATGTGAACTTCTAGAAAGCATGGGGTGCCCCTCACTTTCGGCTGCTTTGGCTTGCCCCAGGTTCCCGAGGGCCGCCTGCTTTCGGAAAGCGCGGGAAACCTGCATTCCGAGCCGCGGGGTCTTCGTGGAGGCACCTGCGTGGCCCTGCACCTGGCACCTTCCGGAAGCCGCCGTGCGGCCAGCGGGAAACTGGGAGCGGCGCTGGGCCCGCAGGGGCGTGTGGGCAGGGGCTCTGCCTGGGGTGCGAGCCCACTGGACGGGGCGGGGCCACCGCGGCACCCGCTGGCTGGGTAGTCGGCCTGCGCCTGCGCAGTGGCATGCCCGCGGTGGTGCGTGCCCTGCGCGCAGCACGTGCACTGAGTAATAAGCCGCGTCTGCTTTCGCTGTTGAAGTGGAGAAGCAGGCCCTGGCCCGGGGCTCAGCTCACTGTTCAGAAGCGCGAAATAGGGACTTCATTCTCCGATCGGTTTGCCAGCTTCCAAGGATTAATTATCTACACGTCCAAAAGCACTGGAGCAGGATGGGTTTTGGCAGGGGTTTCAGGATTTGTGTCACGGTCGCTTCAAAGCTGTTTCTTTAGACTTGATTAGAATCCTAAGGGATATGAAGCAGCGCTGGCTGAAGCCGGGGACAGGAGTCTGTGCATCGAGCAGGCAAATTTGCAAAGGGCCAGTTTTAACTGTAGTTTAACGAGACTGGTGATTTGTATTTAAGTTCTGATAATATCTGCTTAAATATTTTGGAGAAGCTTGTTAGATAGAGATCACAGGGGTGTAGCTCAGTGAGCGATCACAGAGGGAGCTCGCCTGTGGGCCCCCCGCCATGGACAGCGGGGAGTGTGAGCAGCACCCAGACGACCACTCCCCACACCCAGCTGCCCGAGCAGCCTCTGCAGACCACCAGAGCAGTGGGGCCCAGCTCTGAAGGTTCAGGGGAGCCTTGGAGGGTGGGGTGCGTGGTGTTGGGGTGAGTAGGGGAAGAGGCTGGGAAGTCATTGGTGTGCAGGAGAGGGAGGGGACGGCCGGGGACTGGCCACCCACGGCCCTTGGGTTCCTGTTCTCATTGTCTCTCCCACACACCCGCCAGGCTTTCTCCTTGCATCTCCCCACCCCTCCGCTGTCCCCTTCTCCGGCATAGTCCACGGGACACCAGCCCACCCCACGCGGCTCCTCTGTAGGAACTGAGGTTTCAGTGTCCCTGCGCCCTGTGGACTATCTGTGCGTCTCCGAAGTTTGTTGAAATCTCTCACGCACGTCCCCTGTCCTGTCTTGTGGACCAGTGTCATAAAAGGCTCCTTTGTTCTTTCTCATTTTCCTGGGGTTGGGGAGGGAGAAGAGTCCAAAAGTCAGCAGGCTGGGTGAACCTGACGGCATTTGGTTCATGGGGGTGTTAACACTGTGAGGCCTCCTTCCCCTCCTTCCCCTGTGGTCACACCCGCTCTTCCATCAGCAGCCGGGCTCACGTGGCTCTGACGTCCCACACCCCCTCCGGGCGGCTGTCCTGGCCCTTCCGTCGGTGCCTCCTGGTGTTCCACTACTTGTGTGTGGCTGGTGTGGCTGGGGTCTCCCGGCAGCCCGTGGGCGGCCTCAGCCCTCGGTGTGAACTGAGACCTGGCCCGGGGTGGGAGGGAGTAGAGGGGAGACGCCACGCGCACTGGGGGTCTGGAGCAGGGGGCCGGTGAGACAGACACCAGGGGAGGTGTGGCAGATGTGTCAGCAGATACTCATTAGGCCCTGCTCTGTCCCCACGTGTCCTGAAGAACAGGCTCGTGCCCTCCTGGAGCCCCTGCCCGTCGCAGGGGGCAGCTGTGCAGGCATGGTGGGACTGGGGGCCGGTGTGGCAGAGGAGCCCTGGGGGCCACAGAGGGGGCGGGTGTGGTGGGGCTGGGAGCACTGAGGAGAGGTGAGGAGACAGGATCCTTCCAGGCTGACGGGCCGGCCCCTTGGTGGCCTCATGCAGGCAGGTGCTGGTTGCTGGCATGGGCCCAGCGCCAACCCCAGAGGGAGCTGTGTGCGGGGACAGAGGGGGTCAAGGAGGGCTGTGCTTCCCCAGGAAGGGGTGACACGGAGACTCTGAGAGATCGTGTTGGCCTGGGCAGGACCCGGCAGGGGTGGCACAAAGCAGGCAGAGACGGGGAGACAGGTGCCGGCACGAGGTGAGCTCGTGCTGCTGGGTTTCCAGGCAAGGCTGGTTGTGCCGCACTCATGCCCGCGGGGGCAGGGTTTTCCTGGTCCGGCCTGTCCCAGCTGTGGGCCCTCCCGCAGTGCCGGGTGCCAGGGGGACAGCCGCGCCCTCAACGGGGGCAGAATCCAAATTAACACCTGTCTTTCGTGACATGGTTTCACATGGCTCCAGAGTCAGGGCTGGCCACGAGCCCGTCTGGACTCGAGTATCCCACAGACAGGTTGTGGTTGGAGCCCATGTGTGAGCCCCGCCGCCCGCCCCCTAGCCTGCCTCATTCACACAGGGGTGGGGGGCACAGAAGGAAGGCCTGAGGGAGGCCCCACCCCTTGCTCTCGTTGGGGGCCTGCCTGGTTCCCACGGGTCTGGAGGACTTGGGCAGGCCCTGGTACACCGCTCACACGGATGAGGCTTTGGTTTGCTCCTGGGTGTTTGGGCCTCACCTTGTGGTGGCTGGCAGCTCACGGCTTTACCCTCACCCCGAGCCACAGAGGCCTTTGTGCAGTACGGGGCAGACTTCCTCAGGCAGCTGGCTCTGGGAGGGATGAGGAGGGACACAGTGGATGCTCTGAGAGCTGTCAAGGGTCCGTGTAGCAGGGCCCTGGTCCTGGGTCTGTCTGCAATGAGGCCAGCCAGGGCCAGCTGCGAGGGTCAGGTGGAAGAGGTCGGTGGGGCCTGGCAAGGACCCAGGGCCAGCGTAGGACACAAAGGCCGAGGGATGGGCTGGGCATTGTCCTGATGCCCACCGCCTCTGACGGTCAGGGGTCACGGGAAGGGCCCCACAGATAATGTGGCTCGTCCCCCAGGGGGCTCCGCAGCCGTCTTGTTGCCTGAGTGAATCCATCCATACCTGCCTGTTAAATGTGCAGAAACGGGAAAGGTGAGCAAAAGGAAGGATTGCTCTGGGATTTGCCACTTCACCGGCAAACAACTGTCCACACTGGCTTGGGGAGGCATCTGGGCTGTTTGGGACATAACCTTTCTTCCCCTTCATTGAAGGAGGAGCTCTTACTTTTTATAAACTTCCTTTTTTACTCCGTGGCACCTGGAACCTGCGTGCAGTCACCTGTTCCCTGTGCTGTGAGGCGCGTGCCCAGCTGTGGTGCAGCCACAGGGCGGCCACCCGCCCCCCAGGCCAGGTCAGCGTGGCTCCGCACTGAGGTGTCCCGCCTTGCCGCCAGCGGGCCAGGGCTGAAGTGCCCCGGGGGCTCGAGAGCCAGGCTCCTGGGGACGGAGTGGCCAGCTGTGCCGTCCAGCGGGGAGCCCTTGGCCCCACCCCCCGAGAGGGGTCGTGGCCTCAAACCCACATTCTCGAAACAAAGAGGGCCTCACAGCCCTCTCCCCGTGTCTGAACAGATGGACGTCTCGCTGTCTTTGCACTTTCAAGCGTTTTCACTTGGCAGGACTTCCAAGGCTTGGCCCTCTAAGCTGGTGGCGCCCCGACATGCTTCCAGACGCAGCCCCTCACCAGACACACATAGCACCGAAGCGCAGACGTTGAACCCAACTCAGGGAGAGCCTCCTGCCTGCCCGCGGGGTCCTGGCTCTCTCACACTTGGTCCTTCTCTGTCTCGCAGGTTTTGGGATTTGAGATCGACGCGCTGAACTCTGTCCAGTTTTCCAACCACACAGGTAAGGCATTGTTGGCCTGAGCAGGCACCGAAAAGCGGAATGTGGGCCCGAGAAAGGGCCTTTAGAAATCTGGGGCCCCACCCCTCATCTGACGGTCAGGAGGTGGAGCCGGAGGGACCGCCCAGCATGTGAGGGGCGGAGGGGGCTAGGTTGGCCTGGCCTTGGGTGTGGACGCTGCATTTGAATCTCAGCCCGGTTGCTTGAAGCTGAGTGACCCGGTGCAGGTTGCGGGAGCCTCCCGGCACCTCAGTCTCCTCTGTGAAACAGGGACCTGCTCCTAGCACCTGCTGCGGGGCCGAGCCCTCTTCCAGGTGACCGCGGACCGTGAGCAGGGCCCCGTGTGTGCACGTGCCACTGGTGGACGGCGAAAGTAGGTCCTGATTTTCTCTGTTAAAAACCAGCGCCTCGGAAACTCACGTGGTGGTGTTGGTCTCAGCGCAGGGGGCACAAGGACACCTGTGCACAGAGGCTTTGAAACAGAACTGCTAACTCTAGGGCCCGTGAGGGACACTGCCCTCAGAAAGGCCCCGAGTTGTCGGGACAAGCTTCCTGAGCCCGCTCCCCACACCCCCTGGCCCCACGGCCTCGAGAGCGGCCTCTCCTATGACCCCACAGTGCCGTAGAGGCAGGGGCATGAGGCCATTCCCTTCCTGGAAGCACCCCTGCATTGCGTCTCCTGAAGTTACTCTGAACGCAGACAGAACCCCAGGAGCACAGAACGTTCTGAAGAGCACCAGCAGGGTGTGCGGGTGGGTGCCTGGGCCTCAGCCCACACGCTTAGGAAAGATAGCCTGTAGCTCTCTGGTGTGGCTTTTCTTGGAAGGGACGGGATATCATGAGTCATGAACTGAGGGGAAGAATGACATTTGGGATAATTCAGAAGAAAACAGTTCTCACCGAAAGCCCTTCCCTACTTTTGCTTTGCTGAGGGTTCTGGGTGCTGAGAAATTTGGAGAAGCCCTAAGAAGTTTAAGTCGATTCAGCGAACTTCCCTGAATCCCACAGTTTCTTTCTTTCTTTCTTTTTTTTTTTTTAAGATTTTATTTATTTATTTGACAGAGACACAGTGAGAGAGGGAACACCAGCAGGGGGAGTGGGAGAGGGAGAAGCAGGCTTCCCGCGGAGCAGAGAGCCCGATGTGGGGCTCGATCCCAGGACCCCGGGATCATGACATGAGTCAACCGCAGACGCTTAACGACTGAGCCACCCAGGCGCCCCAATCCCACAGGTTCTATTGGCTGTTTTAACCACCTTCCTTGTTGTTTGTTTAAGTAAATGAGCCAAACCGGCTTGGCCACTAAATGTTGGAGTTAAATTCATTGCTAAATATCACATGGTGCTATAATCAGCATCGGTTCAACAGAAGCCAAGAAACTGCCGCTGCGCTTTGCACAGATCCCAGGCTGAGGGAGGGGGCTTCGGGGGGCTTCGGGAGCACGCAGCTGCCTTCTGGGCTCCCACAGAGCCTCTTCAGTTGGCGGTGGACTGACCATCCCAAGGGGTCCTCTGACCCTGGTGCAGAAGGGGTGGATGAAGACCAGACCCCCGAGTGTGTGGAGCCCACGCAGGTGCAGGGGGTAGCCAGGGCCAGAGGGGGTGGGGGCTTCCCTTCCTCTGCTTCCTGGCAGGGCCGCCACCCCAGCCTCTGGATGCCATGCGGTGCCTGCCTGGTCAGGGGGCTCCTCAGGCAGTTCCTGGCCGGCAGTGACCCCGAGCACCCCCACTTGGGCTCAGCAGGGCTGTCTATGCAGCCTGATCCCGGATCTCAGGTGTTCAGTCCTGGGCTTTGGACCCAGAAGTATTTAAGGTCTTTTTTTTTTTTTTTATCTTTCTCTCTCTTTTTTTTTTCTAAAGATAGATGAAGAGTGTGGTTGTGAAGTCAGGGGGTGGGGCAGAGGGAGAGGAGAGAATCCTTTTTTTTTTTTTAAAGATTTTAAGATTTTATGTGTTTATTTGAGAGAGAGCACAGCAGGGGGAGGGGCAGAGGGAGAGGGAGAAGCAGGCTCCCCGCTGAGCACGGAGCCCGACACAGGGCTCTATCTCACAACCCTGAGACCATGACCTGAGCCGAAATCAAGAGTTGGATGCTCAACCAACAGAGCCACCTGGGTGCCCCCGTTTTTACCTTTTTATTTAATTTTTATTTTTTAAATATTTTTAAAAGAGATTTTATTTATTTATTTACTTGGAGCATGAGCAGAGGCAGAGGGGGAGAGAATCTCAAGCAGACTCCCCACTGAGCCCAGAGCCTGGCGAGGGGCTCGATCCCATGACCCTGAGATCATGACCTGAACCGAAACCACGAGTCACTTCTGACTGCACCACCCAGGCGCCCCATTACCTCTTTGTAAAAAGAACCTGGAGCACTCACTGTGAACAAGTACCCATTAAGGCCTGTGTATGCGGGGAGAAAGTCACTGCACCACCTGTCCCCATCTGTGAGCTGCTCCAGCTGTCTGGCCAAGGCCTCGCTGTTGTGCTGTTTCCACCATGTGGTCCTACTGTGTACTCAGTGCTTGGCTCACACCGTGCATGACTGGCCAAGACATTTCAACCACATGCCGTCTGTACCCTGCTCGATGAGCGGTCCCCTGGATCACACGCGGGGACCCCTGAGCAGTGCCTGGTCACTGCAGAGGGCTCTGAACACGGCCGCCCACACTGCTTGTTTCCTGGGGTCGGGTCCGTGTGGGGACGTTTCGAGCAGCTCTGTTCCCAAGTACGCAGTCCTGTGAGCTGTGATCCGCTCTTCCAGGTCAGAAAGCCCTTCTTGTTTTATTTTTTTAATTTTAATTTTTTTTTAAGATTTTATTTATTTGAGGGGGAGAGAGAGAGCGCGCACACACAAGCAGGGGGAGCAACAGAGGGAAAGGGAGAAGCAGGCTCCCCACTGAGCAGGGAGCCCGATGCGGGACTCGATCCCAGGACCCCAGGATCATGGCCTGAGCCGAAGGCAGACGCTTAACTGACTGAGCCACCCAGGCGCCTGACCTTTTTTTGAACAACACCTTTCTTATATTTATGTGCCATCAAGTTAATTCACCTGGTGAGGTGTGTAATTCGGTGGTTGCTAGTACACTCACAGAGGGAACATTTTCACTGCTCCAGGAAACTGTACCAGAGTAACTCCCTGATCCTCACCGTTGCCCCTCCTCCTGGCTGCTGGACCACTCATCTCTCATTCTCGGATTTGCCCGTTCTGGAGATTTCATATAAACAGAATCATACGATAGGTGACCTTTAGTGTCTGACTTCTTCCACTGAGCCTCATGTTCTCCAGGCTCATCCGTGTGGTAGAGTGTTCCTGTGTGTCACTCCTGGTCATGGCTGAGTAATAGTCTGTCACAGTACGGACAGACCACGCTTTGCTTCTCTGTCCATTTGTTGATCGGCACGGGTTTATGAATCATGGCTGTTAGGAATGCTGCTGGGGGCACCCGGGTGGCTCAGTCGGGTGAGCATCTGAGTCTTGATTTTGGCGCAGGCCATGATCTCAGGGTCGTGAGATTGAGCCCCACGTCGGGCTCTACACTCAGCGCAGAGTCCGCTTGAGATTCTCTCCCTCTGCCCCTCCCCCCCTCAAATAAATAAATCAGTCTTTAGAAACAATGAGTGCTGCTGTTGTGAACATCTTTGTGCACATGTTAGTGTTCTCCCAGTGGATAGACCCAGGAGCACACTTGCTGGATCGGTTAGTAGCTCTGTGTTTGATCACGTGAACGACTGCCAGACTGTTCTCCACGCCGGCTGTACCACTTTTTGGCCCCACCTCAAAGTCTAAGAGCTCATCCCCTTCAGGACATCCTGTTTGACTTGTCTTCGTCTTTTACATTCTAGTCAGCCTAGTGGTGCGAACGGAATGTGTTAAAAAACGAAATTCAACCAAGTAAATTTGCAGATCTAATTGGTTTTGTTAAATGATTCATGAATCGGGCAGCATCCCATCTGGCAAGTAGAGGGGAGCTCCACTGAGCTCAACCGAAGAGAGGTTTTTAAGGACTTATTTATTGATTTTAGAGAAAGAGGGAGAGAGACAGAGTGTAGGGGGAGTGGCAGAGGCAGAGAGAATCCCAAGCAGATCCTGCACTGAGCCTGGAGCCCGATATGGGGCTCTCTCTCACGACCCTGAGATCATGACCTGAGCTGACACCAAGAGTCAGAAGCTTAACTGACAGCACCACCCAGGCACCCCTGAAAGAAAGGTTTTTAAAGGCAGAGAGAGCATTAAAAAAAAAAGAAGAAAAGAATGTACTAGCAGGGAATACCTTACTTGGGCAAGACAGTCCCTCTAAGGGGAGCAGGGGGTCTATCAGCCAGTTTCCCAGGGTTGAAACTGCAGTTAGCTTTGGTATTAAGTCTTGGTTTACCGACTTGGGGTCTTCACATAAGTGACACCATTCCCAAATGTTTCTTTAAACAGAGCTCATTGTGGTTCGAGTCAGAAATGGCTGTAGATCAGGGCGCCTGGGTGGCTCAGTTGGTTAAGCGTCTGCCTTCAGCTCAGGTCATGATCCCAGGGTCCTGGGATCGAGTCCCGTGTTGGGCTCCCTGCTCAGCAGGGAGCCTGCTTCTCCCTCTCCCTCTGATGCTCCCCCGGTTTGTGCTCTCTCTCTGTCAAATAAATAAATAAAATCTTTAAAAAAAGAAAAAAAAGGCCACAGATTGAGGCCGGAGAGGCTCCATCCTGGGTGAGCAGGTTTTCCAGAGTAGGGCTGGCACACTTTCCCTGTTAAGGGCCAGATAATAAATAACTGGGGCTTGGCACCTTCTGTGCACTCGCGGTGTGAAAGCAGCCAGAGACCACACGTAAAGGACGGGATGCAGCTAAGGTCCAATAAAACTGGAGCTTTATTAACAGACACTGAAAATGGAGTTCCATAGAATTCTCACAAGTCATAGAGTATTACTCTTTTTTTTTCCCCAACCATGTAAAAACGTAAAAGCTCATTCTCAGCTTGGAGGCCACACAAAAGCACGCAGCAGGCCAGGTTAGGCTCACGGGGCCTGGTTTGTTGACCCCTACTTTGGGTCCGCGTTTCTCGGATTTGCTGTGGATAAGAACCGGCTGGGGCCTTGCTAAACCTGAGGGCCGGGCCCGGGCCTGGGAATCTGCATTTCAGATGAGCCCCCAGGGGTGCTGGTGCTGCCAGTCTCAGAGACCCCACTGGGGAGAGGAAGGGTGATGTGCTTTGGAGGAGGGAGGCTTTGGGAGCTCAAGGGTCAGAGGGACATTCCTAGGGGTTAAGGATAGCCACAGGGTGCCAGGGGCCCCCAGGACCACCCCCAGACCTGGCAGTTCGCTAGGGGACCTCCCAGGACTCAGCAGGAGCTAAATCAGCCCAGGGCAAAAGCTGGTGAGGAGAAGTGAGGCACCAGGCCCACGCTCCAGAGCCACCAAGTTTTCATGGGTGAGCTGCGGGGTGTCTGTGGTGTGGCCCCAGCCCTCAGCCTGCGTGGGCAGGGGTCCTCCTACGAGGCAGGGGGGTGCCCTAGGAGTCCCATTGGCAGCATGCTCACTGCCTGTGTGCCTGGAGCGAGCAGGGCACCCCGAGAACCCAGGTCACATCTGGCTCTTGGTCAGAGCTCGACCCGAGACCGGCTCCGGTTGCAGCTGAGTCTTGCAGGGCTGGGGTGGCGGGACGTGACGGGCCCTGCCTACCGAGCGTTCGGCCTGGATGGGGGACGTGCACAGCAGAGACTGGCAGAGCGAGCACCCCGCGCCCCCCACGCACCCCGTAATTCAGGGAGAAGGCCACAGCTGCGTCTAGTGTGGCAGCACGCCAGCTTGGAGAGCTGACCGTCCCTGTGGCGCCGGATCGGTTCTGGAGGGTACGGGCGCTGGGAGGGGGACGCCTGGTGTCAGCAGTCAGAACTCCGGGGGCATATGAGCCAGGGGTGTTCGCGGGGGGGTGCTGAGGCTGATGGTGTCAGGGCAGGGAGCCACTGAAGCGCGGCATCTCGGGCCTTGCATCAGCCCCCGGGGAGAGCACTGTCCCCTGGCGTCATCGAGCGATGGTCTGGGCCGCGGCGGGCCGTTGGGTGAGGCTGTGTCTCGCACACCTGCCCCGGGTGTCAAGGGCCTGAACGTTGTGCTCTCCCCACAGGCTATGCACACTGGAAGGGTCAAGTGCTGAACTCAGATGAGCTCCATGAGCTCTACGAGGGCCTGAAGCTGAACAACGTGAACAAATATGACTACGTGCTCACAGGTGAGTCCGCGGGAGCTGGGTGCTGGTCCCTGTGTGCCTCGCTCTAGCGGGGGGTGGGCTCGGCCCTGGTCCCGGCCGCCTTCAAGGACAATGGCCTTTGCCACCCGAGTGACCGCCAGGCCCCCGTAGCAGGACCTTGGGGGTCCCGGCCACGTGGCGCTCACTCAGATGGGCCATGCTGTGTCACCACACTACTGGGGCCATGTGGGGGACACGTGGGGGGCACGGGGGGGTGAAAACACCTAGGTCAGCCACCTACTGCCAACCTGTTGCATTGGTTCCTTAGTCAAGTTTATGGTAAAAATATATATTTGTATTTATCTATGTAGTTGGAAGGGAACATGCTTATTGAAAATGGAAAAGACAAAAGAGGGAAAGTGTTCCTTGTACACTCTCACAGCTTCTTCCGTTCACTTAACACTTCTGGGAAATGCCTGGTGTCCCCTCAGTGACTGCAGATGTTGGGGACACTTTGCGCCCTGCCCACCGTTCTCTGGAGCAGAGTGGTTTTGGTGGTGCTCTTTCTCCTTGGGCGTGGTCAGTTGCGGTGAGCCTTCTGTTTTATGAGGGTTGCCCGGATTTCCCTCCCAAAGGTTACACGAGGGACAAGTCCTTCCTGGCCTCGGTGGTGGACATCGTGCAGGAGCTGAAGAAGCAGAACTCCAAGCTGGTGTACGGTGGGTGCCGGGCCATCACCTCCTCAGGCAGGGTGGACCTGCGGCCCTTGAATGGTGGCTTGGTCTCCTTCCTTCTGGCGCCCCTCCTTCCCATTCTACCTCCCCCGGCCTGTAAGCTTTGAATGTGCTGGGCGTGCAGGGCTGTGTGCCTTCAGGGCTCTGGAAAGGGTTCAGAACGTCTTCACAGTGACCCTGGTGTCTGTGGGGACAGTTAAGAGAAGTGGGTTGCATACGTGCGGTAATCCGTGTCCGCGTGTGGAGGCTGGAGAGGCCAGACCCTGCGGTTGGGGTATGTGTGGCCACTGTTGGCCCTAGAGAGGGTGGCGGAGGGTGTGGATGTCCCGGGTGGGGCCTGCCTAGTGAGGGTGGACATGCCAGGTGGGGCCCAGCTGTGGAGGGCGAGGCTGAGGCACAGCTGAGGGGCATGCCAGGCCTGTCTGTCCCTAGCCCCAGGCCGCCACACCAGCCCCTAGGGTGTCTGCCCCCCAAAGGCCTCTCCTGCTAAGAGACATGGAAGATTCGGGTTACTCTTTCCCCCTGGGACTCAGACGTGCACATTCGGGGCTCTGCAGGGCCCCCCAACGTGTGTGACACTTCCTACATCCAGGAGGGAACTCCAGTGGCCTGACGTGGGGGTGCAGGTGTCCCAGGTGTAGAGGCCAGTCCCCACCCTCAGTTGGTCTGATGCCAGGTCCCACACTGCGGCCCACTGCCCAAAGGGAACGAGCTTGTATGGGGACAGGCGACACTGGCCTCAGCCAGGAGGAGTGCATGGAACTGCTCTTCTGTGTCCCTCTCTCGAAAAAGGTGCAAATGATGGTCAGGTAGAAATCAGAGCATTCAGTCGTCACGGATGACAAAACACAGAACGCTAGGTGACAAGGCGACTGAAGGTAGGAGGCGCTTTTCCCACGCTGTTAGCTGCGTACGTCAAATTTAACAAGGAAAAGAAATGTTAAGGGCTCTCATCCTGTTGGGAGCAGCGATTGTTAATAGATGCCCTTTGTGTCTCCACAGTGTGTGACCCGGTGATGGGTGACGAATGGAATGGCCAAGGCTCCATGGTTAGTGATTTCACGCGTGTGCTTCCACACATAGGACACTGCACACGTCCTATGTCATCCTGCCCCGGAAGTAAGGGTTGGCAGACAGGGTTTCCCGTAAAGGACCAGAGAGCAGATATTTGGGGCCCTGTGATCCGCTGTATCAAAAAGCAGCCCCGGGCATCTGGCTGGCTCAGCTGGTGGAGCAGTGTGCAGCTCTTGATCTCAGGGTCATGAGTTCGAGCCCCATGTTGGGTATAGAGATGACTTAAAAATAAGATCTTTTAAGAAAAAAAAGCCACAGTTTGGAAAGGAACAGACATGGCCATTTCCTAATAAAATTGCACGTATGGACACTGAAATGTGAATTTCCTATAACTTCTGTGTGTCACAAATGTTATTTTTTTACCTTTCCCCCCAAACACATAAGAGCAGACGGGCCGTAGCTTCCCGCCCCTGACGTCACGTAGAGCAGGGGATGCCATCCAGTGAGGAAGGTGGAAATCCACCGGCGAGGATCACCCTGTGGCTCCCAGAGAGACCTAGGCCGGGAGGGATCGCAGGGGGTCAGCCCGTGCCGGCCGCGCAGCACCCCTGTTGCGGGCCCCCACCTGGACCACGGGGCTCCTCGGCAAACACGCTCTCCTCTGTGCGCATCAGCCTATGTCCCTTGTCACCCTTTTCCTTTAGTACGTTCCAGAGGATCTCCTTCCCGTTTACAAAGAGAAGGTTGTGCCGGTTGCAGACATTATAACCCCCAACCAGTTTGAGGCTGAGTAAGTAATCTGAAACCACTACAGCTTTCAGACCTCCTCACGGGGCTTGCCGGTCAGGAAGGCCCTGCCTCAGAGCAGAGCAGAGATCTGGCAGCAGGGTGGGGGACGGGCCATTCTGCCTGGGGGTGCCCTGGCCCGACAACAGCAGCAGGTGGTCATTTCACCCCAAGTCCTGGGATCACGCTGACCCCTAGCCATTTTCCTGAGCAGCAAGAGCCTTTGGGGACAGAGAGGGGAGGAGCTGAGGGCACATGTGGGTGACACAGGTCATGGGTTGGAGAGCCCATGCTAGCTGATGCAGGGGACCATCCTGGCACTCCAAAATCCACATCCCAAATCTCTACATGAGATTAAAAGGAGTCAGCCGGGCCCTCGTGGTAGCGAGCTTCTGGGCCTTTCTCGGACTGCGGGGCCACCTGATGAAGAACTAGTGCGGGGAGTAGGGGTGGGTAATGAGCAGTACCTGGTGCCGTGGGGTGTGTAACTGAGTGTCCACATGGGTTCATCTCTGCCACAGTGCAGTTTCTTGGACCATCAGTGGGGTTCCCCCCGTCTCTGAGGCTGCCTTTTGAAGGAGGGGTGGGTGGGGTGCTTGGACTCCTAGGGACGTGGGGTCCCTGACCTGGCCCGTCCATCCTGGAGGATGGCAGCTCACCCCAAGGACCCTGAACCCTTGGTGGACCTGTGTGAGAGCGGTATGTTAACCATTTGCAGTTTGCATTTTGCATTTTGACTTTCAGTGGACATCAGTCACTCTCATGGGCCACTGAGGGGCCATGTGTTTCTGTCCCTTGCTGTGGTTAAATTTTACTTTCGGCTGGTCCTTAGCCACGTCGCGGTGGTGACCAGGTCTGTGATGGCCAGCAGACACTGAGCTCCTACAGGGATGGGAGCGGGTTACCAGTGCCATAGTAGCTCTGGGGATGTTTCCAGCAGGACCCAGAGAAGCAAGGGCTCACCTATGCTCACCTGTCTTACAGGTTACTGAGTGGCAGGAAGATCCACAGTCAAGAAGAAGCGTTAGCGGTAAGACCTCCCAAGGCCTGGCATGGGACAAGTGGCACCGTGTGTGGTGGGGAGGGGATGGCTGTATGCCCTTGGGGATGGGGGGTGGGCACCCAGGTGGCCGGCATCCTGGTTCCCGCCGCCAACCAGCAGGGGCTGAGGGATGTGTTGTAAATTCCCCGGGGCCCCCTGCACCTCTAATGTGCATCTGGGTCTGGGCTGACCCGCTGCCTGCTCTGCTCATAGCAGGTGCCTGGAGGGGGGCTTCTGGGGCGGCCACAACAGAGTGCCACACACCAGACAGCTGAGAACAGAAGTGTCTTCTCTGCGGCCCCGGGGGCCAGGAGTCCGAGATCAGGGCATTGGTGGGACTGTTCTTGGCCTAGATCAGTGGGGAGGAACCATTCCTTGCCTGTCTCCCAGCTTCTGGTGTCCCTGGGCTTGTAAACCCATCGCCAGGCTCTGCCTCTGTCTTAAGTGGCCTCCCGTTGGTGCGTCTGTGCCCCCCTCTCTTTCTGAGGACACGGGGCAGATCAGATCCAGGCCCATGCTGGTGACCTCGTCTTGACCTGCTTGCATCTGCGCAGACCCTGTTTCCAAAGCAGGAAACAGGAGACACTCCAGGGTTGTGGGCCGAGGGTCTGGGAGACACAGCCTAGCACGCAACAGTCACAGCATTTCCTGCGCGCTTGCTGTGTGCCCGGTACCGAGAGTCCCGCGCACCCGTGACCCGTGTGTGTGCACGGGAGGCCCGCCCTCCGGACGAGTGTGCCATCGCCCCAGCCGGTGTAGACAGAGAGGAAGAGCCCAGAAACCATCTGTGCCAGGCGAGGTCCGGCAGAGACCAGCAAGAGGGCGTGTGCGTGGCTGGCACGTGGGGGTGTTGGTGTGTGCGTATGCACGGAGGTGCGGTGCTGTGCTGTCTGGGCACACGTGTGCAGGTGTCTGTGTGCACGAGGAGGCTTATCCAGGGTGTTGGCTTGCACCTTTGGGGCCAGGTGGGCACATCCGGGACCCGCCGCAGGGCCCACTGACGGGAGAGGCCGCCTGGAAGTGAGGCAGGTGGGGTTTCTTCTCTGAGGTTCTTTTCAACTTTCCCCCGTGGAACTTGTTGCTGGCCTGTCATGTAGCCTTAGATGGAGTTCCTGGGCCACGTGCCCGAGCGGCGGACCGGGTCCGGCACAGCAGGGCGCTCCGCCGTCCATGGCTGGGCCCCGTCGGAGCCGTGGCCTCTCTTCGTCAGGAGCCAGATCCGAGTAGCGGGCCCAGGCACGGGCGCGGCAGGCCCGAGGGGCTGCGGAGCCTCTGTCTCCCCCGCGTGCGGAGGGAACGGCGGAGCCCCCCTCTCCGCTCTGAGGGCCCCCGCACCCTGGGGCCTCAGAGTCAGGTGCCCGACGCAGCCGCACGCGCCGAGAGTTCGAGGCGGTGCTTTGGGTGGACGCGCCCCACGCGTGAGGCCGGGAACGCACGGCCCGCAGCCTGCGCGGGGCTCTGGAGCAGAGCGTGCCGCCTGAGCGGCCACGAGCCCCGGTCTGAGGCTGTTGCTCCAGGACGGCAGGGCCCTCCTCCAGCCGCGACGGGAGAGCTCCTCGGTGGGAGGTCACCGCCGCGTGACTCCCTGGTCGGTTTTCTCCCCGGCTCCTAGGCCCAGGGCTGAGGAGGGTCGTGGCGCAGCCACATGGGGTGACGCGGGGGACCGTTCCGCTGGGCCAGGGGAGCCTGAGTGCGGATCCGCACTGGCCCCAGGAGTGGAAAGCCCGAACGCCAGTGCCCACTTCAGGGTCCACATGAGAGCCTTTCCGGGTCTCAGAGTGACCCCCAGCGGGCGGGCGGCCTAGCGGCTAGCTGCCTCCTCCCTGAGCCCCCATTCCCTGAGAGTAGCACGCCCCTCGGGCTAGGCCAGCACTCTCCTGAGCCCCCGGTTTACCCAGTGGGTGTCTCGTCCCAAGGCCTGTGTTCTGGGAGGGCTTGATGGGCTGTGTGGAGCCAGATGAGAAAAGACAGCCCATCCGGGGCGGGGTTGGCACCTTCCTCTGAATGGGAGTGCAGTTGGGTGTGGGGTCCAGCAGAGGTACAGCTTCAGGCTTCAAGCAGAGGGCATGGGGCTGGTGGCTCCCACCTGACAAGCTGCCACTCAGCACGCGCGGGCTGTTTCCTCACGTTCAGAGCCTCTGGTCTCCACTCCATCAAGCCAAGCCCGGTTAAAGTGCATTCTTGGCACAAGGGCCGGTGGTGCCTGGCTGCTCGGGCAACTGGGAGCCCTGGCAAAGGTGGCCAAGGTGCGGCTGATGCACCCCCTGTGCCCCGGCAGGTCATGGACGAGCTGCACGCGATGGGCCCTGACACGGTGGTCATCACCAGCTCCAACCTGTCCTCACCGAGGGGCAGTGACTACCTGACTGCGCTGGGGAGCCAGAGGATTCGTAAGTTCTGGGAGGGCCTGTGGGGCCTCATGTGTCGATCGTTGATCATGTAAATGCCACCTGAGTTGGTGTTTCTGCACAGTGCCAAAACGACACACGAGGTCGGGGTCACACTCGCTGCCCCAGAGGGCACGCGGCCTCCTCACCACTCCCTCTGTGTCTGTGGGAGAGCATGCCCCACACCCCATGCACTCCCGCACACACCCCCCCATTTCAGTGAGTCCACGGTCCCTATGGCTCTAGGCGCCCTCATTACTCCTCCGGCCGTGGGTTCCCTCTGCATCCTGTCACAGGTGCTGGTCCCTTTGTGCCATGCTCCCCCAGGCCATCCTGCCGGGGGTTCCAGTATCCACATGCCTCCTGGGGATGGGGTGTCCGTCCCAGTGAGCCCCTGAGAGGCAACACTGGCCCTCCTTGCCACCGTGCAAGGGAGAAGTGGGGAGGGGGGCAGGCCAGTTCCCAGTCCTCTGCTGGCCCAGGGTGTTAGGGCCCACTGGCCGTGTTCTCCTCCTCCAGGGAAACCCGATGGCTCTGTGGTGACAGAACGCATCCGCATGGAGATGCACAAGGTCGATGCGGTCTTTGTGGGCACCGGGGACCTCTTCGCCGCCATGCTCCTGGCGTGGACGCACAAACACCCCAACAACCTCAAGGTCAGCAGGATGAGCCCCTCCCTGCAGGGATGATCTGGGTGCTGCAGGGGCTTAAACAGGAGGACTGCGTACATCATGCTGGAGTCGGCTGGGTCCAGCTACGGGGCAGTCCTGAGCCAGATGAGGTCCCGGGGCTGTGAGCCAAGGCCTGAGAGGGGTCGTTGTGGCCTCAGTGAGTCTGTAACTAGGAGCATCTCCCAGGAGAGCAGCCCAGTCAGCGTTTGCCCTGAAATGTCATTGCCCCAGTGACTCGATAGACTCAGAGGCTGGGAGTCCCCTCAGAGGGATGAGGGACGGGGCTCCGAGGTCAGACTCGAGAGACGTCTGTGTGTCCATCTCTCCCCCCACTCCCCACACCACGTGTAAAAGTCCACAAATGCATGTGTGTAGAGAGAAAGCCATTTTGCACAGGCATTGCTGGGCAAGGGGAGCAGTTGCTGCTGATCTGGTAAATTGGGGTGTGGGGTGTCGGGGGTCTTTCCCGTGTGTTCTGTCGTGAAGCTCAGGAGTGACAGCTGCATTCTCTGACCTCTTTCGGCACCACATGCCGTATAGTTGCTCTATGACATCAGTCATGCTGTGTCTTCCTTCGGCATTGTTAGAACCACAGAACTGGAGACCCGCTGTGCACAAGGCCACCCCAGCCGTTGGGCCCCTCTCTGCATAATATGGTGGCAGAAGAGGAGGCCCCCATCTCTGGAATGTGCACAGGAGGGGCAGCTGTGAGGGGTGCTTAAGAGAGACAAAGCATGCCTCATCTGTGCTGGGTCCACTGGAGGAAGGAGGAACTTCGAGCTGGGATCTGGAAGTGGGTTCCCCTCAAGCTGTCTTTACTGGATACCAGGAGGGGCCCCGTCTCCCCCCGGGGGCAGGCGCGTACCCTCCCTATGACATCAGTCCCACTTGTGCCACGCAGGGCTTGGGCAGAGCCCGGCCCCTCTTGCCTACAGGGCTCAGGGACAGGTGCTGTGATGTGAAGCTCTAATGTGCTGTGTCCTGGCCGGTGCCCCCCCCCCGGCCCCCGACACCCAGGGATGAGGGTGAGCACAGACCTGCTGTTTTAGTTGGCAGCCGTGGGCGTTCCTTCTGGTACAGGGCACCTTGGCCAGCTGGTGCCCAGTGGAGGCCTTGCTGCTGGGCTGCCTGAGGCTAAATCCAGGTTCAGCACAGCCCTGGGTCCCGGATTTGCGTGGGAGGGCGTTCCACTCACTTTCCCAGCTCCTGCGAAGCCCTGAGTCTTTGACTTTGAGATGCCAGCAAGCAATGACCTTGGCCAACTCTGGGGTAGGAACTCTTTTCCGTGTAGATTCTTCACAACTACTTCATTCCGGAAACACTTGTATTAAGCACCTACTGTACGCCAGACAAAATCGACAGGTCCTAAGTCTCAGCCCTTCCCCAGAGTACACGGGCCAGAGGGAGGCGGTTAATTTTAGCATGCAGGCATTTGCCCAGCTCTCCCAGGATCTTTGTGGTGAGCCATCCCAGGGTGGGGAGCATGTGATGGTAAAGCCAGTGCCTTGGTGACTTGGGGTGGAGACAGTGCTGTGGACGCAGAAGACCCCATCCGGACTCTGGGCATCATGGGAATGGGGGAGCCACAAGGTGTGTGTGTCTCCTGTGCCCCCCTTCCCCACAGGTGGCCTGTGAGAAGACCGTGTCTGCCATGCACCACGTTCTGCAGCGGACCATCAAATGTGCAAAAGGTACCTCCTGGCGAGGGCCAAGGGTGCGTGAGGTGGTTGGCACCTAGAGCAGAGGCGGGGAGCGGGAGAGACAGCTCTGGTGCTGGCAGCAGGGTCTCTGAGGCTCCTGCCGCCACCTCTGGCCTTGGCACAGGGGCAGGGGCCAGCCTGTGGAGTGTGAGCCCGGGATGGGAGCTCCAGAGGTGATGTGGGCTGTCAGGGCTCACTCGGGCAAGGGAAGGGGGAAGGAACGTCGGGGTAGCTTCTGCTCTGTCCCTGTCATTGACGCTTTGTCCTATAGCCCAGGCAGCGGGAGGGCTGAGGCCCAGCCCGGCGCAGCTGGAGCTGAAGATGGTCCAGAGCAAAAAGGACATAGAGAACCCGGAGATCGTGGTCCAGGCCACAGTGCTGTGAGGCCCGTGTTCCGCACCCCAGTGCCCGGCGTGTGGTGTCTCCCTTGTCGTCCTGTGAAAATGTAGCGTCTGCCTTAGAGCTGTGACTGAAACGTGGTCTTTTTTCCTTTATGAGTGTCCGGCATCAACTGGTCTTATTGTGAAAATGTGCTGGTCGTGCTTTTCAAAAGTAACAAAGCAATCACAGAAATCTGTAATTTGGGGAACGCGGCCCCCCGCGGCTCTACTGTTGGGGTGCGGTGAGTCCCGTCCCGAGTGGGCTGGGGCTGCGGGAGCCCGGGCTCTGTGTGTCCCCAAGGAAGACTTGGGTCCTAACCATTTGCGTCTGGAAGAATTATGCCAAATCTCTGTGTTGTCTTTCTGACCTGACCCTCTCTGCTCCCACTTCAGACATTTTGTTTGTCACTTAGCTGTTGGGTAGGTCACCAGGGAAGGTTTCCCTGCGGGGACGGATTGACAGCAGCTGGCCCGGCACGCCCAGGCACTGTGCAGTCATGCTGGGGGGCACCTTTCCGGGACCCTGAACATTCAGACTGGTCTGCACGTGTCATGCCCATCTGTGGGCCCGGGGACCTGCTGGGTGACATGATGGAGACGAGGAAAGGTCCTGTGGGTCAAGGACAGCTTGTGGGAGGACTAGCACATGTGTTCCCTGTTTTGTGGCACGGCAGGTCGAGTACGCACTGTGTTTGCCCCCCCCCCCGCCTTGCCAGGAACAGATGCATCGAGCCATGGTGCCGGTGCAGAGATGGGTACAGGAGGGCAGCGGGGGATGCCTGCCCTTCCCTGCTCGGTTCCGCATTCTGTGCCAGCCAGAAGCCAGGAAGCAAGAGGCCCCTCGAAAAGCCAGCTGCAGCTGCGCCCGCCCCTCACAGGAGAGGGTGTCAGCACCTCGGGGAGGGGCTGGGGCAGAGCGCCAGGGGAGCAGCTCCCAGATGCCTCTGGCAGAGGCCACAACCTAGGTTTTGACACCAGGCTGGTTGTCCACTCCTGGGGCCACCTCCCTGGCCCCACTTTGCCCAGAAGTTTGAGGACCCCCAGGTGTGGCTGCAAGCAGGGAGGGGTGCCCATCCTGAAGACTCAGCCTGCCTCAACCTCAGCACCTGGCCCCCGAGCCCCCATCCCCACCCGGGGGGGTACTCCTCTCCCAGGAGCCCACAGCCTGCAGGATGGAGGGGGGCAGATGGCGGCCCCTGGGAAAGCAAGCCCTCCCCAGGGAGCCCCCATGCAGGTCCCGTCGTGCAGCCCGCACCCCCTTCTGCGGCAGTTGCCCGTGGCCTCCGGACCACTGCCACCCCCTCAGTGCTGTGTTCTCCACTCCGATGAAGACTCCCCAGAACCAAGAAACGCTGGCTCCATGCTGTTCCATGCACTTTTCTTTCTTCCCAGTCTGTCCACGTCCTGAGTGTCTTAACTTATGCATGAGTGCCCGACAGCCCGTGCACAGGCTCGGCGGTTGGCTCCCACAGCGGGCTCAGGTCAGGGTGTCTGTGTCCCTGTCCTGTGTCCTGGTTCTGAGGACCGGGCTCCGCTTAGCCCTGGGGCAGAGCCCGGCCGCCTGTCACTGCCAAGCAGAGCTGGGGAGATGGCCGTGCCACCAGCCAGCAAGTTTCTCCCCCTCTTTTTTCATGTCGAGAGCAAGGGGAAGGGGAAGGAATCTAAATGTGTCTCTCCCCAGTGGGACGACGGAAAAGCCTCCCCGGAGCTATGGTGTAGGGCAGAAGGGCTCGCCGTGTGTGTGTCCGGTGGCCTTGGGGCACACCCCGCAAACCCCGTTCGATTCCCTGTTCTTTATCTTTTATTTCAGAGGCTTAGCCTTTGTGTTCCACTCAGTTCCTTTGCTTCCCTTTACTATATGTAGGATGATAATTATTCCACTCATAAAGCTTCCTGTCACATCGTGAACTTTCTGGCGGGATCCAGGACGTTTTCCTCTGTCTCCTCTGACTGTGAAGCCCCGAGCACTGGGAGAGGTGGTGTCGGGCGCTCTGCACTCGGCAGCTGGAACCGGGCATCCTGAGAGCCTCTGCAGAGTGCGGGGCTCCTGTAGAAACATTCAGGGGTGCCTGGGTGGCTCAGCTGTTAAGCGTCTGCCTTCGGCTCAGGTCATGATCCCAGGGTCCTGGGAGCCTCCTTGGGAGACTGTCCAACCCTCCAGCTCCCAGCAAGGTGTGTGTATCCCGTGCTGCTGCTGAGCCCATGCGATCCTAGGCTCGGTCCTCCGTGCACATAGAGGCCCTGGCTTGTCTGTGCTTAGAATTTCCCACCCAGAAGTCCACCATGGTCATTAGCAGTGGTTTTTTTTTTATACAGGTTGGGTCCAAATTAGAATTAATCTTTGTTTCTACTTTCCATAGTTTAGTAACATGCAAAGTAATAATTATATATTTTGAGATGAGAGATGTATTGGTCCTAAATCGCCTGCTTATGACCAGAGTACAGATTTCAATAGTTTTTCAAAGCTTCTGTGAACTTAAAGATGAATTACAAACTATCCTTTTTTAAAAACCATTTTCAAAAATCATTGCCAAGTTCTGCTAAGGTAATCGTGTTAATCTGCATTATTTTTGTAATATATGTCAGCGATGATACAAATGATGCTTTTCTCGTCCTGTTCTTAAATTTGCTGCAACCAGTTTTTAAAACACCGGCTGATTATTCGATGGACTGAGTGTGGTTTGGTGAAACTGCCCTCATGAATACGTGGTGGGTGCTTTTCATGTTCGGCCGGAGGCCAGAGCGCGCTGCCTGCACCACGATGCCTGAGTGCTCAGTGCAGATGTGCGACCCCCTCCCACCTCCATCATGCAGGAGAAGTAATGCTGTGTGCTGGGGATGGAGGGCAGGGTGAATCCTTGCCTCTGGGGAGGAGGCGGGGGGGAGCAGGGCCAGGCGGCTGGGCCCTGGCATCACTGGGTGTCCCGAGGCCACTCCTGACTCTGCCATACCTCCTTGCTCGACCTCGTGTTCACTCCCAGATGAAATGTACAGTAAAGGAGGTGACAGCATTCTGACTGCTGGATTGGCACCATGAGCACACCCTCTCCTTGTCCTTCCTGCCCTTTGATGGGACCACCCGCCTGGGGCTTGGGGTCTACGTCGGCCTGAATCAGAGGCCCCCTGTGAGCACTCTGTTTCCCACACCAGAAGAGCTGGGAGTCCCTGTCTTCCTTCTCTGCCCCCCACCTGGTTGCTTGGGCGTCCCTTAAGCACGCCTCCCCGTGGGACGGGGTTTCGATGGGAACCCCCCACCCCATTACCTGCCTGGGCCAGAAATCGGGGAAGGAAGTTTGAGTGGGCAGAGGGGATCGTGCGCAAAGCAGGACGCTGCGAGTGTGGTCCTCGCCGTCTGAGTCTAGGTGGGAGCCGTGTGGCCCCCAGGCTCTGCTCTGCCCACCAGAGGGGCATGGCTGCGGAGCCCACCAGTGTTCACTGCATGCCACCTCCCGCTGCCAGGCTGCAGGGGGCCTCCCTTCTCATCCTGTCACTCACTCCATGCAGCTCTTTGCACTAACACTTCCCTACGGAGCCAGGTCCTGTGTGTTCATAGAGGGAGCACAGTAGATGTATGAGCCGGCTGGGCGCTCAGAAGGAACCGCATCCCCTGGGCGGGCAGCTCTGGGAGGCCAGGTCCACTGCCCCAAGCCCGGAAGCCTCGCGCTTGGGCCTGGTTGGTCTGGAGGGACGACACTCCCCCAGGAGACCTCCTACTTCATTTCTGCCCTGAGGTCACTGGTCAGGCTGGACCCTGGAAGCACAGGGGCACAGTGATCAAATGCCTGCACACATGTGGCCACAGAGCTGGTGTGCGCATGTGTGTGTCTGTGCTGTGGTCACTTTGTGGCATGGGCAGTCAGGCAGTCGAGCAGTCGGAGTGTCTGTGCAGGTGAGAAGTGTCCTGAACCCGTGCGTGTTTGTATTATAGAGAGCTCACTATGGTTGCAGAATCCAGCCCTGCACTTGCAGCCTCTGCCGGCAGGGGGTGACTAGGCAGGGTCCGGGCCCCACCTCTGTGCTTGCACACCTCACCACCCCTGTAGGGGGCGCTTCAGTAGTGCACAAGCTCTCCAGTGACTGGAGCCCGGTCTTGGGGTCTGCTCCCCAGGGGCTGTGCTTGCAGCGGGCTGGCCAGGTTCCTAAAATGCCAGGCTGCTCGTGCGCGTGTCTCCCTGTGGACTTGTGCAGGCGGTTCTCAGTATAAAACCGTTTCCGTTTTACTGTGTGCTGATGCTGATTAAATCAGTCTCATGAACCACCACCTCCCTGCCTGTCCTGAGGTTGTACTCACAAACGACACAACGTGTTCCTTTGCTTAAGACAGAATTTGATGAGTGACTTTAGTTCCGACTTAGAGAATATTTCCAAACTTTGTATTAACAGAAAGTTCTTCCCAGAATTTTCTTTTAAAATTCTGGCAGGGTATGGGCGCCTGGGTGGCTCGGATGGTTGAGTGTCTGCCTTCGGCTCAGGTCATGGTCCCAGGGTCCTGGGATCGAGTCCCGCATCGGGCTCCCTGCTCCTTGGGAGCCTGATTCTCCCTCTGCCTCTCTCTCTCTCTCTCTCTCTCTCACTCTGTCTTTCATGAATAAATAAATAAAATCTTTAAAAAAAATAAAATAAAATTCTGGCAGGGTAAACACATTTTAAAACCTTTCCCACTGTCGGAGACCAGCAGAGCCCTGAGCTCAGAGCAGGAGACTTTGTGTTCGTCCCTGAGCCCCGGCTGCCAGTGAACTTTGGGTGGGGGTGAGCAAGGTCAACTGCAGCTCCTCTCTGCCCTTGGCCCCACACCAGTATGGGGCAGGTTTCCACCTTCTGCATCCGGAAGCCCATTCTGGTGGGAAAGGCCTTCCTGAGGCTGTGGGCCACTTACCTGGCGAGGGCGTCACTCACTGTCCCTCAGGTTGCCCGTGAAGCCAGAGAGCATGGGTCCCTGCTCTTCGCCCAGCAGAATTGAGCTGAGGAACAGAGAGGGGAGTCTGCCACCCTAAACCTCTAAGCCGCATGCTCTGCAGAGCCGGGCAGTCTGGGGAGGGAGCTGGGGTGCCCCCCGCCACCCACGCTGTTCTGAGCTGTGGAACAAGGTCCCTGGCTTCAAAGCCACTGTATTTACTTTCTCACGTGGGACCCAGCTCCTGGCACGAGGAGGGTGATTGCCCAGGGAAAGAAATGGAGAGTTGGGCCTGGTCTCAGCCTTCAGCATATCCCAAAGAACAGAGGGGAAGCAAAATGCGCAGCAGGACTATAGACCCCCCACAAAATACCTGGGACCATTGTCCTGACTGGCAGCGTAGATGTGACCCTTGGGAGCGGAAGGTGAGTCCCTCGTGTACGACATCTAGCCCCCAAGGATGAGGAGTGTGTGGATGACGTTGTGAATGCTTTTGACCGTACAGCTGCATACTTTCTAATTTAGACTTTTAGTTGGGATTTTGGCCAATGATTGCAAAACTGGACAGACAGGAGGACCGAGGAGGCGCTGACTCAGAGCCTGGCCAGTGCTGGCCGGGGCCTTCCCGGAAGTGAACTCGGATGGTGGCGGCGGCGGCTGCGTGGGAGAGGGAGGGAGGGTCTCTGAGGTCCAGCTGGTGGTTTGGGCAGCCCCGGGGTCTCCAGCCCTACCCTCGGTGCGTGTGTGGATGTCCACAAAGTCCCTACCGGCACTGTAAGGTCCGTGTCTGTGTGCTATTGACTCGTGATTATCCACAAATAAATCTCTTTCTGATGATGTTTTTGCAGTGCAGTGATGTCTTTTCCTGTGAGGAACTCCCCATTAATTATCCCCTAGTACCTGAAGCCCCTCGGCCCCCCGGACAGCCCGCCCGCCCGCCCGCCCGCGCAGCAGTGCTTCTTGCTGAGACGCATGGGATGAGGCCCTGAACATGCTCCCCTCTTAAAGGAATGAGCCTGCCGGACGACCGGACCTGACCCACCCTCCGAGGCCCACTTCTCCTCGCTCATCTGCTCCGTGCCCTGGGGGCTGGCCTGTGAGCTCCGCCTGAGGGCGGGGTGCTGAAGCGGGTGGGACTCCCTTTCCCCAGCCCCTCCGGGCCAGACTCTGGGAACCAGCTTTAGCCACTGTTCTGTGTCACTGCTCCTTCTGGGTTCCAGTGCCTGGGGTTCAGTTCCCTCACCCCTGGGTGGTGACGGCGCTGGCCGTACTGGCCGGACAGGTACCGGGCTCCCACTGTGGTTCACCCACACCTTTGCGAATAAATCCGCAGGCAGTCTCCAGGAACACCAGGCTCCTTGCCTGCCAGAGAGGCGGAGGAGGGTGGGAGAGAACACGGGAATCGCTTTATGTCTTGAAATGTCCCACTGCACCTCTCGAACCCGCTGCGGACTCTCCCATGCCCCTTCGTGGGCCCGCAGGCCCTCCTGGTGGACGACTGTGTGGGGCTGGCGTAACACACTTCCACAGATGCGGTGGCTTAGAGCGACGCTGACGCACCCACAGCGTGGAGGGCAGACAGGTCACGATAGGCGGGCAGGGCCGCTTCCTCCTGGAGGCTCCGGGGAGAAGGTACTCTCCGCCTTTTCCAGCTTCTAGAGGGGCTGCATTCCTGGCTCGTGGCCCCCCACATCACAGCCAGCACTGTAGCCTCTGTGGTCTGACTCTGACCCCTGCCTCCTCTTCTGAGGACACTGGGATGACATTGGGCCCCCCCAGAGAGTCCAGGATCACCGCTCCAACGCAAGAGCCTTTGCTCAATCACATCTGAAATGTCCCCTTGCCAAGTAAGGTAACCTCCGCAGGTTTGGGGCCATCCCCCGGGGGGACCCACTTTAGCCCTCTGCGTCCTAGGGGTGTGAAGTACCTGGGTCCTCACACAGTCACCCGTCTCTGAGGCTCTGCATGGAAGATCCAGCGGAGGACCACGCATGGCTGTCAAACCTCAACCATCGGGAGGATTCCTGGTTCGGGCTTCCCCTGGGGGGGTTGGGAAGGCCGGCCTGGAGACCACACCACCTCGGGCTTTCCCAGACTGGGTTCCCAGAAAAGAGCCTAGCCTAGCCCCACTCTTGAGCACGGTAGTATGGGGGGCGGGGGTGCCATCCCAGGCTGGCAGGTGAGGATAGGAAAAGGGGCCAGGCAGGGAGAGCGAGAGAAGATGCCCGACAGGGTGTGACCTAGCTGGCCGGGCGGCCTGCCGGGCTTCCAGGTCTCCCGTCTTCTCCAATGGGTCGAAGTCCACCCCACAGGGGCGAGCGCCCCTGGGCTTTGGAGGTGTGCTGCCTCGCCCCAGGGTGGGTGTGGGTCCCACCGGGCTGGACATCGGTACCAGAGCTGCCGCAGCGGAGGCCAGGGCAGGTTGGGATGGACGGGCTGGGGACGCCTGGGGCCTGCAGAGGTGGGCCGGGTACGGTACAGTGACAGGAAGCCCTGAATCAGATGAGGAGTCCCCTCCTCCATCATGTGGTCACTTGCCAACCACCTGCCTGCCAGCCGCTGCCAACTCTGTGCTCGGGGCCCCCGTGCAGTGGGGGCGCCAGCTGGAAGGCCATGTACCCGGCAGGCCCCCAGTTCCTGCACAGGGCGGGCACCTGTTTGCATTCCCAGCCCACTGGGGGGTCACAGGGTTCCGGACGTTTGCCAGGGCAGCAGGCCGGAGACGGCCTCAGCACGGTTTCACTCTGCTCTTCTCTCAGGAAGACTGTTACACGGAGGGGCGCCTGGGGGGCTCGTCGGTGAAGCATCTGCCCGCCGTCTCGGGCCATGATCCTGGGCTCCTGGGATCGAGCCCCACATCGGGCTCCCTGCTGTTCCCTTTCCCTCTCCCTCTGTGGGCTCTCTCTCTCTCTCTCCAATCAATCAATCTCTTAAAAAAGTGTTACGTGGGCATTTTAATAATTGTTGTGATTGTGTTCAGGTCTTTGATTATTTTACAATAGGATTTTTCATCTTTTTCTCCCCACTTTTAAGAGTTCTTTATACATTAGCAGTATCAACCCTTAATCAGTTACAATTACGTTCTCCAAGTCTGTAATTGGGGTTGTAGATCAAAAGCCTTTGTCTAGCCTGGACTATAGAGGAATTCACACGTTCCTCTAGAATTCTCATTTTTTTCTAGCCCTTGTCTGCTGGAGCCATGTGCCTGCTTTTGCAAGGACAGAAAATGCATGAATGCCACTTCCAAGCAGCTCAGTGAGAGCCTCCTAGGCACCCCACCTGGTGGTGACCGATTACCCACACCGATGATTGTGTCCAGTGCATGAGTGACATCAGTTACTTGTTCCTCTGTCTCTAGGCCGACGTGCACCTGATCCCATCTGAGTCAGCTGACTGTGCTTTCCGCTGGCGCCGTGTTCTGGGAGCAGCTAGCGACAGGGTGTGGTGGGGTCTGCTCCTCTGAGCTGGTGGGGAAGCCGGGGGCCCCCTGGAGGGGCAGAACCAGGGCTGGCAGAGTGCGCCGACCTGTCCGGCCCGGGGGGGGGGCGGGTGCAGGTTAAAGGTTTGGGAAAAGTGACATTCGCCGAGAATTCTGGGCGGAGGAGAGAGGAAGCTCACCTGAGGGCAGCTGGGAAAGGCGCCCGCCTGCTGGCCCAGGGGGGGCTCGTTCCCACCTGGGGAGCTTGAGCACTGGGGTCTGTGACGCTCAGCAGTGGGCCGGGTCCCTTTTGCAGTCTTCTTGGCTCTGGAGAAACAGATGGTACTCCCAGGGGTGAATGGAGGAGGGCTCAGTGAGGGGCCATTCCAGGCGTTTGAGGGGCCATGGTTGGGGGGGGGTGCGTCACCAGCCTGGCACGAAGGGCTACCTGGTGGTAAGTTGCAGAACTAGAGAAAAGTCCTGTCGTAGGGAGACACGGACAGGAACCCCATGGTGGTCCCTGCACTGAGGAACCAAGGGGTAGATGGAAGAGCGTACGTCCCCCAGACCAGCTCTGGATTACTGTCCCCATGCTGAGTTGCAAAATATGCTCAGTCTTCATTTCAATGCAAAATCGCTTGACCGCCAAGAATAAGAGCCTGTTAGGAACGCTTTTTATTCTAGTTCAAGGACAGCGACGAGGACTCACATAGCTCGTATTAGGGTGTTCTTCAAAGCTTCGAAGCTGTTTGCTCACCACGCTACCCTAGCGCGCTCTTCCTTCCCTCGAGATCCAGACAGCCCGATCCTGCAGCCGCAGAGCCAGCTCAACGTGCCCCACGCCGCAGACACAGAGGTTTGGGAATCCGAGACCAACATGAACCCTCGAAAACAACTTTCTGCCACGACCCGAACCACACAGACACCTCACCAGTCCTCCCTCTCTCCCGACAACAGTAACGTTGTGCCCTTTGCTTATGAAACGGAGACACAGGGCAAACCAAGCACAGGACTGACGTCACTGACGCAGGGACCCTCTGTTGAGAACTGGAGACGTGCTATTGCCCAGGAGCTCCACTGTACCCTGAGCACACGCAGCTCAGAGCAGAAGTTCAAGAGACTCTGCAGGTGGCCGGTGCTCAGCGAGGCCAACTGACTCTTCTGCACGCCCTCTGTTACCCGAAATGTTACAGCCTCTTGCACACACATCTGTGTATTTCTACCAGAGCGTAAGGCGGTGTGTGAATGTGTCCAAGTACCCTAGAGCTAAGGGTCTAGAATCAGATTTACCCAAATCCTTTCATTTTTATGGGGGAAACTAGAGCCTAGAGACAGGATGAAGTCAAGGCATGAGTGTGGGTAGCTGTGGTTCGAACACAGGCTCCTGGAATCCCGGGTCCTCCACCCACTCATTGTGACCTTGGGCAACTCCCGCCCCCGGGGCGCAGTTCCGCAGGGGGAGGGCGGGGGCTGGCCAGCTGCAGCCGGCGCGTGACCCAGGAGGGGCCCCGAGCACAGCAGCCACGTGGCGATAAAACCACCGCATAAACACATCCCTTCACCTCCAACGCTCCTCTATGTGATTATGGTTTCAGATCAAAGAAAACACCCAAACAAAGGAGTAAGTTCATAAAGATTTAAAAATATGTATTTAAAGAGAATATAAGCCCTCTTTGACAGTAATTAAGATCAGTGACTGTGTTGACTTTGTCTCTCCCGCTGAAAGTCAGGAACAGAGTCGCAAAAGAGGTGGTGACATCCCCCCGCCCCGCGAGTGGCCCCGTGTAGAAACGACATTTTTGATCCCAGACACATTCACAGAGGACAGAACCACATGGACGAGCCCTATTCAGAGTGGGAACTAGAAATACGCCAATTCGTCATGCCTGGCTTTGTTGGTCTGATAGCTGGACAAGGCCACAGGCTTGTTTTCGTGTGGAAGACTTCGAAATACTCGAAGGTGCACAAACTCATCATCGTCAACTTGAACCTGGAGAGATGGAAGGAGGTTAAGGTGAGTGAGGGGCAGGCAGGGCCTGTGACCCCACGTGCCCCTGCTGGGCCAGCCTGCATGCCAAAGGCCCTGGATAGGGGTAGGGGGATCCCTTCGGGTCATCAGCTTCCTGCTTGCCACCCTCCCGGCCACCCGCCACCCGTGGCTGACCCTCACCTTGATGAAGTAGTTCATCCCTGCGACCACCTGGCTTCTGAACTCCACAGCCTTAAATGTAGCATACTGCTTATTTTCCCGTTCTTCCAGCTGGGGTTTAACCTTGGGGAGGGGACAGAACGGAGAACCTTAGTGGCTTCGCTCCTGTGAGAGGCGCTCACACAGCCTATTTCTCATGTGAAATGCTACACACTGGATTCCTGTATTACCCTTCACAGACTTTCCGTAACCCGATTGCTCTTTAATAGTGGAGGGACGCATTAACTCTTAGCTCTCCCCATAAAGCGCAGAAAACAATTCCTTCAATCTACCGGTTTCCATGGTCCTATTTCAGTAGATCACTGGCCCTTCCTGTTCTAGGAATATCATGGGATATTTTAATATTGTCACCATTACGGGCACCCGGATGGCTCAGTCAGTGAAGCATCCGCCTTCGCCTCAGGTCATGATACCGGGGTCCTGGGATCAAGCCCCGCATCGGGCTCCCTGCTCAGCCGGGAGTCTGCTTCTCCTTCTCCCTCTGCTGCTCCCCGCTGCTTGTGTGTGCACACACTCTCTCTCTTTAATAAATAAAATCTTTAAAAAATACATACTCTTACCATTACAGTACTATATGCAAATTTACAACCTGTTTTCAGTCTTAACACTTGAACAGTTTGTTTGAAAGGCTATACAATTTTTTACTCTTAAAATCGAGAAGTAAATCATTTTCAAAATTTTAAACTAGATTTTACATTAAATTTAAAGGTACTCTTCCATCATATAGGTGTGCCCCAATTCTCTTCACTATTTCCCTACTGTGGGCACTACTGGGCTGTTCCTGCATGTCTCCCATAACATGGGATGCAGCAGATACAGGGCTTCGCAGTAAAAAGCACTTTGCTGCATTTTTAGGGGATTTCTTTAAGATGCAGAGCCTCTGGGCAGAAGCTGATCCTCGTCTTAAATGTCAAATAGTATTCATACTTTTGGGTCAATCCTGTTTTCCAAGGTCTTGGCCTTTTAGGAACTGAGCATCTTTACGGCATAGGAATACAGGTTTGTCTTTTTTTTTTTTTTTTTTTTTTTTTTTTTTTTTTTTTTTAATTTTACTGTTGTTGACAGTAGGCACTGCAGTGTGCAGACTTCGTGAGGGAGGGACTTGGCTAGTTCCAGAGCGTTAGAGGTTTCTGTTGACACTGGCTGCAGGAGGCAGCCTTGTTCCTGGGGGGCAGGGGTGGGGGGGGTCACCATCCCTACACACAGTGAGTCAAAAGGCTGCCTGTGCGGCCTTCATGGAGGCGCCCTTGCTGGGGAGAACGGACAGAAGGCTGGACTCCGGGCAGCCAGGTGGGGAGAAGGCCGGCCACTGCCCGTTGTCACGGTGGCACCTGCCTGTCTCCCTGCCGCCAGTGCCTACCTGCGTCTGAACGCTCACCTGAGACCCCTCCTTCGTGCAAGCGCCATGCTAGGTCTGCGCGGAACGGACTTTGCAGTTTACAAAACTAGGCGCTGGGGGTGTGTGTGTCGGGGGTGTGAGTGACACCCTCAGAACGGCCCGGGGGTGCTGGGAAAGGAATCACCTCTCCCTTCGCCGGCTTCGGGACTGGAGGCAGGAAAGCCCCGGGCTGCGGGCAAGGGATGGTAAGGACACCCGAACAGAGGTGGTGCAACAGGCAGCGTGGCCAGGCCTGGGCCCTGCTGCAGAAGGGCAGCTCACCGACACCAGTGCCCACCGGGAGAAAGAGGGGGCTGGAGGTCAGTTAGCAGCCTTCAGGGGATCGGGCGGGGGCGGAGGACCAGGGAAGGCCCCAGGACAGGACTGGGAGGTGCTTGTCATTGATTGGCGCGGGTACAGGATGTCTTCGAAGCCGGTCAGTCCCAGGGGGCTCTTCTTGCGTGCAGCCCAGAGTGCTCCCCTAAGGAGTCAGTGCAAGCGTGCAGGAGGGGGCGTCCCTGCCTCTCTCCTCTTGGAGACCTGCCAGCAGATGGGCTGGCCGCCTCAGTTTCCCCCAGCAGCAACACCACTGCTCCAGGTCACTTTCCAATGGTCAACATTAAATGACCTTACACACGTTCAGCACTGCGCAGACAAGTGAGGAATTTCCTAGTCCCGGAAAAGCTGGAGCGGTGAGGAAGGGCTGGGCCCTCCAGGCCGCGGCTGCGGGGAAGAGCCCGGAGCCGCGGCCCAGGCGGGGCTCGCACAGCAGTCGCGGCAAATTCCTCATTTTCACAGGTCTCGTGGGGCTGAGTCACCGCCCTTCACGGCGGTCGGATGGCGGAGCCACCTGGGCCCGGCCGGGGCCGCCCGGCGCAGCGGGCCCAGGGCGGCGGCAGGGGAGGGGCGTCACAGCAGGAGCCCCGGGCCTTCTCCCCGCTCTGGACCCAGGCCTTCGCGGCCCCGACCCGCAGCCCGCCCGTCCCCCGCGCGCCGCCACCTGCTGCGGTCGTGGAGCTGGAACCCAGGAGGGCCGGCCCGGCCTCGGCGGCTGGAAGGCGCTCTGGGAGGCGACCCCAGGCCGGCACCCGCGGGCCCCGCAGCGGGGAGCCCCGTCCAGGGCCCCGCCTGCTCCCGCCTACCTGGTCGGCGATGGCCTGGGTCTCGGCCGTGGCGGGCTGCGAGGCGGTGGGCGCCCCGCACATCATGCTGGCGGCGGACGGAAGAGGAGCGACGAGCGGAGGAGGAGCGGCGGGCAGGGCTGCGCCCAGCGTCCAGGTGCCCGCTCTCCTTAAGGCTGGCGGCGGTCACGTGGCTCGGGGGCGGGGCCGGGGCCGGGAGCGGGGCGGGGCGGGGGCGGGACCGAGGGCGGGCGGGGCCGGGGGCGGGGGCGGGGCCGAGGGCGGGCGGGGCGGGGCCGAGGGCGGGCGGGGCGGGGCCCGGGCGGAGGACGGTCGCAGTCCTATCCACTGGGCGCGCAGGGCGCCGGCAAGCACCTGGGGCCCTCACTGCCCGCACCGTGTGGGGACCGGTGGTCGCGTGCTGTAGGCGCGTCCCCGCGCTGTGGCTTTGGTTTCGTCTTTCTCTGGCCGGTCGGGGCGGAGTGTCCCCACTGCAGGGAACAGTTGGGGTCAGGCCCCAGGTGGGGGTGGGGGTGGGTTGTTCAGGGGACGGTCTGGAGTCTCATCCTGTGCAGGGCTGGACGCAGCGATGGGGTGGGGTAGGGGGCGGGCCACAGGCAAGTGGTGAGCAGGACCTGAGATAAGAGCTGCCCGAGGGCAGGGGAGAGGGGCCTGTGCCCAGCCAGGACCTGGAGGAGCTGGGCACCGGGGCAGGAGGCTGTCGCGGCGTCCCAGAGGCCAGGATCAGGCCCTGCCCCGCCTCACCCCCCCTATGCATTCAACCACCCTGCGTCGCTCATCTGCAAGGCCTGGCCCAACACCCCACTTGTGCCAGCCACTGTGGAGGTCAGTCACCAGCATGTGACCCAGAGGGACGGTGGAGGGTGGGCCTGTGTGAACAGAGGAGACGCGAAACTGCCCCGGGCGTGGGGAGGAAATGGCTCCCAAGGCTTTGGCCCGGCTGGGGGAGGTGTGGTCAGAGCGAGGCCATTTGGGAAGGGCTAGGTTAGGGCAGGATTTCGGTTAGGATTAGACAGATTCCACCACCCAGGGAAGGGTCCCGCACTTTATTCAGGGCAGGGGTAAGGCCCATGCTTAGGAGCTGTCTGGACAGGACTGGTCTTTTAGAAAGGTCCAGGCCCTGCCGCCGGCGACCCACCCATCAGTTGACGCTGGCCTCCCCTCTCACTGGGTGCTGACTCTGCAGGAGCAGGCCCACCTTTATCTGCTGGTGGGCCCAACACAGAGCCTCAGCGAGCAGATGTGTGGGGAGACAAGGCTTTCTGGTACCTGCCAGGGGCAAAGCCCGGTTTGTAAGTTCAGGAAGGGTGGGGGAGGTCAGGGGTGGCTGAGCCGTGGGGAGTTGGGAAGGGGAAATCCCACAACCCATTCACAACTGCGTGAATGTGTGAGTGAGTTGGATTTGACTCCATAAAAATGGAAAACTCCTCTATGTGGAAAACAAAGCATCAGAAAATAATTGTCAGGATGAGGAAAGGAAGGCAATTCTCTGGTCTTGTCATGTCCTGCAGCTCAGTGGGCTTTGCCCATCTCTCCCTCCTCTCATGCCTCCGCCCATCCCAGAGGGTTTAGCTCCATCTTGCAATGTGTTAAAAAGAAAACCGACAGGCCCAGAACGGAGCCACTTAGGCCAAGTCGCCAAGCCAGGACTTCATCCCTAACCTAACCACACCCTTCCCTAGTGCCACCCTCCCCCAGCAATGTAGTCCTAACCGGCCAGTGAGGAATGTTCCGGTGGCCACCAAGGAGGTACCCGGTCCCTTGGGCCCTCTCCCTCCCCCCAAGGAAGAGGAGGAAATCTGGGGATAAGACCCCTGCTCCTCCCCCTGAGGGAAGGTGACCTTGCCCGAAACCATCCTTGCTTTTCTTTCTTTCTTTCTTTCTTTTTTTTTTTTTTTTTAGATTTTTAAAATTTATTTGACAGAGAGAAAGCCAGAGAGGGAACACCAGCAGGGGGAGCGGGAGAGGGAGAAGCAGGCTTCCCGCGGAGCAGGGAGCCCGATGCGGGGCTCGATCCCAGGACCCCAGGGATCATGACCTGAGCCGAAGGCAGACGCTTAACGACTGAGCCCCCCCAGGTGCCCCTGAATTTTATTTTATAACAGATGCCTCCTCAGGTCTGATGCGCTCTCTCCCTGCTGGACCCCGCTCCTCATGTGCTGACATTTTACAGATAGGAAGCTACACCCGGGGAAATAAGCAAAGCGAACCCAAAGGAGAGCAAGCAAAGCCCGCTTATTCAGAGCTGGCTGCAGCAAGGGGGCCCCCACCCGCGCTGGGGGTTGGCAGAGACTCACAGCAGACAGGGGTGGCGGACAGCTTGTCATGGAAGAAAAGGAAGACTCAGGTGTGCTCTGTGGAGTCTGTGGGTGGGATACTACAAGCTGGGCATCCTGTGGGATTGATTTCAGGGGCGTATTCGGTTTTCTCTGGCTGTCTTGAGTTAGGAGGGGAAGAGAAGATGGCAGTCACGGCCGACTCCTGACTGGTCCAGGGGTGGGGCTGCAGAGGCCTGTGGCCGCGGTCTGGTTGCCAGATGCTTCTTATAGAGGTTGTGGGTCAGAGTTCTCTGGTCCCACGTACACGGTCTGGCCATCGACCCTATGCGTGGTTGGTCTCTCGTGCTGCCCTCGGAAGCCAGGGTTTTCTTACTGCTGCAGGTCTGGGTCGGCACGGATGCTTGCAAGCAGCCAAAGAGAGCAGGCTCTGGAGGCCAAATGCTCGAGGGCAGATGCAGGCCTCCCTCGTACCTGCCGTGCGGCATAGGACTAGTTGCCGAACATCTCTGGCCCTCTCTGTGGGGATAATACTCAGAAGCAATCTCACAGGGTTTTGAGTTTAAGTAGTAAGTGAGTTAATCAGTGTGAAAGGTTCGGGACAGCATCCGAGCCCCAGGGCGGGCTGATAGTGTTATTACCGCGACTGTCTCTAATTCGTACACTAACTTCAATCTGTCCCATAATTAGCATCACTTTTTCTATCCAAAGGCCCTGGAAGAGGCTAACATTTATCTCCCATTCCTTGATGCCCCGGGTTCTCATCTTGCTGGAGCCAGAGAAAAAAAGACCAAATATTATGTCTCCTGGAGCCACTCCAGGGCCTTGGATGTCACTTCAGCCTGAGATCTGTGAAGTCTCTGACTTCCCGGCACGTGGGAGGCAAGGGGTTTTTTCTTAGCGTCTCAAGCTTCCTTCTTCCTCAGCAAGATGCTCGGCTCCTTTGCTTTCCTCTTTGTGCTGTTAGGCAGGTGATCCACGCATCCGCTCCCGGAGCTGATCAGTTGGTGCTTATGTTCCCTCATGCAAAAAATTGTCATCAGAATGTGTTGCTAATTAAATTCTAGCCCAAGAAACCCTTAAAAAAAAAAAAAAAGGAAAACAGAAAGAAAAGGAAAGATGGAACATTTATACAACTAAGCATTTACCGGTTACCAGTTCATCTTCACTAGCAAGGGAAGTAACAGTGAAGATAAACCCAAAACCAGGTGCCCCACACGGGCACACCAGGGTCCTGCCTCCCACAGTAGGGTGCCTGTCAGGCCTGGCCACCTTCGGTTGCTACAGACTGAGTGAACCATGGCTTTACATCTGAGCCAGGGCCCTTGAAGGGAGCCAGCACCGGCCGAGGCAGCCCTGAGCCCCTCTGGAGGGGTGGAGCGAACTGCAGAAATTGGGACAAGTCAAAGGAGCGAACAGTTGTAGAATCTTAAAAGGCCCTTGTTGTAAACTAATGCAGGACAAGGGTTTCCTAAGTGAGGAAGCCTCCGCAGAATCAAAGGGAAGGAAGGCCGGGATCCGGGTTGGGGGGCAGTTGACTCTCTGGGTATGCCTGGTGCACCTGCCCTGGGCACGCCAGGGGTTCTCTCTGCGTCTCCTAACGACCTGTGTCCTTGCTGGTGTCCCCAGCAGCCAGATGTGCGGCATTGGGTCTGGTCTTCACCGTTGTGTCTGTCACACAGGAGGCCCTAAATAAATATTTGATTCTCATACACTTCTGTAAATCACAAATAAAACCACAGTTGGAGCAATCAATGCCAGGAATCAGGGAAAATTCTTGGATGGAGAGAAAATTTATAAAAATTTCCATCCCAGAATTTAGAAGCCCCTCTGTGCCCAGCCCCCATCCATAACAAGGGGCCGTGTTGTTGGGGGGAAGTGCTTCTAGAAGGGCATTTCCCCATTTCCCTGCCCGCTGCTCCCCCAGCTGCTTGTTGAAATGCCAGTTTGTAGGCTTTCCTTGGAGACTCGGGTCCCCGGTGGCTCGGTGGGGCCCAGGTGCCACAGAGCCGTTCGCAGTAGCCATCTCTGACGGTGGATGTAGGCATTTAATAACTTTGCTCCCTGTGATTTTCTGTATTTTTCCAAAGCTTTATTTAAACAACTTTTTGTTCTTAGAAAAAAGAATTGTCTTATTTTGGAATACTGCTTATTCTTGAGAAGTTAATAATACCATGGGAAAATGCTAGGTGTGTTACTGATAGCCGTTTCAAAACTGTCAATATCGTGTGACTAATATAATTCCTACGTTATATTAATAAATTAATGTGTAATTAATAAAAAATCGTATGCACAGAAGAGAATGAGCAGCTATGTGCCAACTTGTTCCTTCAGACCCTGAGACTGTGTCTGGCTCCTTCCTGTAACTTTTCTTATTTCCCTAATTTTCTATAATGAAAAATTGAGAGCGTAAACATGAGGAAGAAGCCTACGTGCGCTCCGTGAGTGAACGCGTTTGAGTCCGGAGAGAAGGTCTACAGACGGCCGGCTCGGGGCTTGGGTGAGGAGGGTGAGGGCCCTGGGCGGGGCACCTGAGCAGAGTCCTGGGGAGGACGGCGGGCTCTCACACCCTCCCGGGCACCGTGGGCCAGCCTGGGCATATCCTTGGCCCTGTCTCTTACAGGCTCTGGGCAGAAGTGTAACTGCTGAGCCTCTTTGCTCACCTACAGAATGGCAAAAGTCATACCTCCCTTGCAGCATGGTTTTAGGGTTTACTAAAGGTGGGTGCAAAGTCTCATGAGATGGTGGTGCTATGACTGATTTTATCTTCCTTCCCCCTCCTGTAGCGGGATCCATAGTGTCTCCCTGAAAGTCACGTGTACCCGGAACCTGAGAGGGGGACGTGAATTTGGAAATAGGGTCTTGGCAACTGTCATTAGTTAAGAGAG